ACCCAGGGCAGGGAAGGGACACTGAGGCCGAAGCTTCCCTGCAGGGAAGACAGGGTTTGTTGATCAGACCCTGGGCTACAAGGTGGTGTCCTCCAGGGCTTGTGAAGTTGGAAAGCTGCAGACTCATAACTAGAGGGCCTGGTGTCCACTCTGGAAGAGGTCGGTCCACACCAGTGGTGGGCCATGCATGTGGATGGCTCCAAGGCTTCTCTAGACTGCCAACTGGGAGCTGAATTAGCCAGCTGGACTTGGCCATCCTCACTCAGCAAACTGACCCAGGGTTGCCCATGGGATTCCATCTGCACTGTGCACAGAAGTGGGGCTGTTGGGCATGGTTGTTCTCCCCTAAGAACCTGGGGTCCTCTTTGCGTGGCTGTTGGTATTTGTCCATTCAAGCTTAGCCCTATGACTGAGCAGAACAGGCCCACCAGGAAAGAGGCAGGAGAGTGGGGGGCAAGCTGAAGGGTCTTGTTCTTAAAAAAGGAAAGAGGCACATTCCAGCGGGTCCCCGGCGTCTTCCCAGCGGGCTATTTAAAGCAAGACCAACAGAGTGCCTGAAGCCTGGTGCCCAATATAACCAGCAGCCGTCAGGTGACCCTGTGGCATGTGTCCCAGCCATTATCTTGGAGGGAGCTGCATGTGTTCCCAGCTGTGGCCAGGGGAATGTGGGAGCCCTGGGACTAGCCCCTATTGCCGCTTTACCCTCCCAGGTTTGGGGGAAGAAGGCAGGGAGGCCAAGTGGAGTTGAGAATTATGTATTTTCTTAGTCTTTCTCAGACTCACCAAACTTTTTTAACTGTACTTCCTGCCTGAGAACCAGAGGAACTAGAGCCTCTCCCACCCCCAAGCTTGTTAGTGCCTCAGTCCTGACAGCCCGCAGGACAGAGAGGGAGGCTGGCAGTGCTGGAGGGACTTGGCAACAGCCTTTGTGTGGCATCTCCTGGCAGAGAGAGCCTTGCCATGGAGCAGACTGGCATCCTGCAGGCCAGACAGCTGCCACTTGGTACCAGGGCTTGTCTGTTTCCTCCTCAGAAAACTGATAGTCCAACTCCAGGCTGCCCCATGGAGGACAGGCAGTGTGTGCATGCCTGATAAGCACAGTGTGCTCAGGGCCCCGAGGACCTTCTTGCTCAGTCCCCGTTGTTTTGTCATGGTGGGCTTCAGCCACCCTTGCCCTGTGGGGCATTATCTTGTTTGAGAAATGGTTCCAGTGAGAAATAACCAACAGTTGTGGGAGATTTGTAGGGTCCAGAGGCCAGCAGAGTGGAGACACTTGGTGTGCACCGTGCTGGACATTCAGCCCTGGTTCTGATTTGAAATAGAACATAGGCACTAGAACCTTTGGCAGTTTCATTGCCCCAACCCCAGAGCTTCCCAGGACAAGAGGCGGACTTCCTGCCGTCCACTTTCTGTCCCTGCTTGGACTGCTAGAAGGACCTCATCCACCTGTGTCCAGTGGATGTAGGGCACCTGCCTGTTGGGGTATCTTAGAGATAAGACACACCTCACCATTGTGCCCTTCCCTTCCCTGACCTGATGCCTCAGGTACACCCTGGCCTCCATTCAGTCCCCTCCCTTTGCCACGTGCTTCCAGTCCCCAAGCTAGGCAAAGCCCATGGCCTCTTCCTAAGCCCAGGACACTTGGCCTGATCTTTGCTTTCCACTTTTCCCTGGATTGTTTTTCTTTCTTGCTAGATGCCAACTTGTTTGCTTTGGGAAGAACCATCTAGGGGTGTGGGGGACTTTAACTCTGATGTGAGGACAGGGAGGCAGAAGGGGTAAGTAGCCTCTACTTGTGGAGCCCTTCCCAGGAGGGAAATGCTCAGTGCTGCCTGAAGAACCAGATATCTGTCTCAAGGTCACAGCATCTCTGTGGTGCCACAGAGATCTGAATACCTGTGGTCCCTCCCCAGCCTCACACCTTTCATAACCATCTCCCAGCCCAATGCTGAGTTTAGAATCGGGTGTACATGGCCGTGGTTCAGTGTTCAGAACTCATTGCCAGAGGGAGATCTGGGGGCTCCTGGGGATCTAAGTGGGCCCAGGGACACCTCCTTGGGCCAAGCCCTAGGTGGGAACATCTGTTATTGAGTGGGCCAAACCTCCAAAAGAGATGGCAGCTGTTGTTCTTGTCCAGGACACAGGTGGGCAGAGCTGCTTGAGGTCCTGCTGCATCCCCGGGGGGCTGTGAACGGGCTGGACATACCCTGCCCTGTGCCTCCTCCACTAGGGGAACCCACGAGGGGAGGACTCGGGCCTAATCCTGGGGAAAATGGGGGCTCAGCGGGCATGCGTGGCAGGGCAGCCAAATCCCTCTCCAAAGCCCACTGAATAGAAAAAGCTTAAACTGACTTGCAGAGTCAGCAGCCTGGGCCCTCTGCTGCACAGCAGGCGGCAGGGCAGCACTTGGGGCAGAGGCCCCCACCCTACCCCCACAAAGGTCCCAGGGGAAGGGAGAGCCCAGGTGCACAGGAGACGTCGGATTTCCCTGTGAGGAGGTGACTAGACGCGTTCCAAGACTTTCCTCTCCCTGTTTGTGGTAGATGTGGCCCCCCACCCCAGTGCAGGAGACCCTGGCTGTTCCCTTGTCTTCCTTTCCCCCCTTCTCTGTGGCCAGCACCACTTACCTGGAACGTAGCTGTTGGGGAGGCAAGAAAGGAAGCCCGGATCAGGGTGTCTGCGTGCCTCCCCTCGGGCCCCTGGCCACCACCTCGTATCTCTTTCGTGCACACCGTTTCCCTGGCCCTCCGCAGCTCCCCTGGGCACTTCTCAGCACAAGCTCCTGGAGCCTGGAGCTCCTCCTTGAGGCTGACAGCCAGCTGCTGTCCGACAGCCTCGGCTTTTTTGTTGTTGGTTGTCCTGGAGATGTAAGTGTCAAATTACCGTCGAGAGGGGGAGCCAGAGGGAACCCTCTCTGGAGCTTGTCCTGCAACTTCTACCCAGTGGCTTTCCTTGCTGGGGAAAGTGGGCTTTGGGATCCTCCGCCTCCTCCTCCTCTTCCTCTCCCCTCCCTCTAGCCAGTGGGCTGGGCCTGGTTGGCTGATGACAGGTGCTGGGCTCTGGTTCTGAGTAGATGACCCAGGGGCTCATCCTCTGCCCTCAGGGAAAGAGAGTGGAGCAGTTTTCCCTGCCCTTGGGCTCCCCACTGCCGCCCTCAGGAGTGTTATTCAGGCCTGTGTCCCCAACTCCCACAATTTGTACCTTGAGCCACTGTTCCTCCCTTTGGCCTCTCTGAGAAAAGAAAGTAAATAGTGAGGGACTGCTGGGCTACCCCAGCAAACAGGCAGGCGTTGCCAGCAGGCCACCCAACACCCAGAGGTGTCTTGGGAAGTCTTTGGGAATCCTGGTGTCTTGGGAGTGGTCTGCTTGCCCTGTGAGGGACATCGAACTCTTCTTAAGAGGAAGGACACTGCTGATTTCTTTCTGCTTAGCTTTCCCCCACGGACTCCTGGCCCAGCTGTCAGGGATTGGCCCCAGAGCCCAGTGGCTGGGGCCCTCTGACATTTGGCTGGTCGTGCCACCCAGCAGACCAGTCTCCTGGGAGAGAAACTGACCCTAGCCCCGCAGTCAATGGAGCTCTTTGAATCTGAACACAAAACCCCAGTGAGTCAGGGCTTGGGGGGTAGGGAGGAGGCAAACCGCTGTGGCCACACCACTTGAATGCCTGAGCCTCCCAGAGACAGACAGGCAGTCACTGTATAGACAAGGGGACTCAAGTGGAGGTAATATGTGTCATATTCATCCAGGGCTGGCAGGAGTGGGCATGAGAGCGCCCTCTGGTGGCTACCTCTGCTGTCTGGCTGCTCCTATCTACCTTCAGAGCTGTGTCCTCTTGGCTAGAGGGTGACCTGACCCTACTGCTTTGGGGGCTGGTCACATTCAGCTTTTGTTCCTTGAGACTGCCGTTTGAGAAGACTTCTGGTTAGAGCATCTGGCACCAGCTATTCTTATCCCTGCGATTGGTGCCCCAGACAGCCCTGCCTCTGCTCCAGCATCCCCTTTTGGGCTCTTCTACCCTGTGCTACCTTCTCAGTGGCAGGAATGGCTATTGTAACTACCCTGGTAAAGCTATGGTTCCTTCCAGGGCCTCTGTACCTGCCTGAGGGTTGGTGGGGCCTCAGTCTGGGGATTGGAGCAGAAATAGACCCTGCTGGGCCAGATGGAAGCTGCTGTCTGTTCCTAGCTTGGGCAGTTACCCCAAGAGGGCCAAGACAGGGTCAAGGCAGTGGGGGTGAGGAGGGGACTCCAGTGAAGCCACGTCTCCTTAGCTGAATGCTCACCAGTGAGTCGGTACAGTGCCGGCCCTCAGAACCACCTGCTTGCCAGCTCTCTCGATAGTTACGCCTTGTGCAGCTCCCAGTCTCGGCCTGGGTACAGTAGGCTGGGACACAGGCTTATCAGGGTCCACAAGGAATAAGTCATCAAGAGACAAGCAGAGCAGAGTGTTGAGGCTGGAGTGGGGCCCTCTCCTACTATTCCCTCCCCTTCTGACCCAGAGAAGGGTGGGAAGTAATATTGTATCCTAATGCCCTTCGGAGCATCCCTTCTCAGTCCTCACACAGCTTGAGGCCAGCGTCCTGCTGCACCATTTTATTGAGAACCTGTAGGTTTTAAAGGTGAGATGATTACCCAGGGACACAGCCTTGATGGCAGAGCCAGCATCTGTATCAGAGCCTGAACTCTTCCAAGGGCACCTACTGCCGGAGGATAGGGTCCCAGGGGCCAGAGGAGTAATAGACAGAATAGGGCTTATATCCTTGCTCTTGGGGTACATATATAGATATGACCTTGGAAAAGCTTCTTCCCTCACTGTCCCCAATTATACAATGGGCAAAATCAAATATGTCTTGTGAGGCCCCCATGAGGTGGCATGTGTGAGATGCCAAGTGTGGTGCTGGACAGTGACACTCAGCCAGTTTTTGGAGCTGGGGTGAGCAAATGCTAGCTTTGCCTGGGTCCTCATCTCTTATCCCTCATCTCTTCTGTATTGCCTGCTCCAGGTGCCGCCATGCTGCCATTGCCAAGTACTTTGGGGATGCTCCACCTGCCTGCACCAAAGGTTGCGACTACTGTCAAAACCCTGCTGCTGTGCGGAAACAGCTGGACGCCTTGGAGCACAGCAGCAGCTGGAGCAAGACCTGCATCAGGCCCTCCCAGGGGAATGGCTTTGACCCTGAGCTGTATGAAGGAGGTCGCAGGGGCTACAGGGGCTTTAGCAGGTCAGGAGCCATGAAGCCAGAGGCCCCCCAACCCATTGGAAATAGTCTGTCATTCTCCTGGTGCTAAGGCCAGACATGGTAGTGCTGTGGTTTACCCTCCTGCCCTATGGACTAGGTTGGGGCCTGGATCTCAGTGTTGCCCCAAGCTTCCAGGGCATGAAGGACATCGTTGTTCCACCAGCAGCCTGAGTGGTCAGGACAGAACCTCAGTCCTGAGTTGCTCACAACCAGCCTTTTTCCTAGGTATGATGAAGGTTCGGGAGGCAGTGGTGATGAGGGCAGAGATGAGGCCCACAAGCGGGAATGGAGTCTCTTCTATCAGAAGCAGATGAGCCTGCGCAAGGTGAAGGAGGTGGGGACTCAGCAGGGAGTCAATGACCCATGCAGCATCCCAGGTGGTCCTGTCTTCACCCTCTAACACCCTTCCCTGGTCCTGGGTGGGAACTGTCCTACAACAGAGCAGGATGCCTCATAGGCCCTTTATGCCGTCTTCCAGGGCAAAGACCCCAAGATAGAAGAATTCATACCCCCAGGTTGGTACAGAAATGTTTCCAGGGGCTTATGGGCTGTGCCCTGGGTTTGGATGGTGGTTGCCTTATTGGGGTCTTCAGGGACTCCAGAGAGCAGGAAGTTGAATGGAAGAACCCATCCTTCCTCTCCCCAGATGAAGATTGTCCCCTGAAAGAGGCTTCTAGCAGAAAGATTCCTAGGCTCACTGTGAAGGTAAGAAAGGGGAAAGTCCTCACCTGCCCCCCAGGACTCTCCCCTGAGGCCAGGTGACAACTCCCCTCTCCCTACAGGCCCGTGAGCACTGCCTGGGTCTCCTGGAGGAGGCTCTGAGCAGCAACCGCCAAGCCACAGGTTCCAGCAATGGGTGAGTGTCCTGAGATCTATGGGGCCAGAGCAAGAGCCAGCCTTGGGGACAGAGGAGATCTCTGAGCACTAGTTCCTCAGGAGACTCTGGGCAAACCCCACCCCCAGGCTCATTTGGGCAGCCCCTCGTTACACCTGTCCTACTTCAGAGTCACCCAGTCCCTACAGCCCCCCCCCAGGGGGCAGGTGTGACCACACTTAGGGGCTGCCAGTGTCTGCTGAAGACCTGTAAGCCATAGGGTACCCAGAAAGTCCTGGTTGGAATCCCTGGGCCTATCCCCACCAGGTCCTGAAGGTACCCTGCAGTCTCTGTGTAGGGTCCAGCAGGAGATCCCAGGGAGAGGTCTTGGGCCCACCAGATGCCTTGTGTTCATTCCTACCCTCAGAACAGAACTCCAGGCCCAGGCCGTGCAGCTAGAATATGAGACATTCCGGAATGCCAAGATGGCCAACCTCTACAAGGCCAGCGTGCTGAGGAAGGTGGGCCCAGGGCAAGGGGCAGGTGGGCAGGGCACATTTACTGGATCAGGGTAGGAAAGGGCAGGCTATCTGCTAGCCCGCTGGCCCCAAGAGCCATTTATAAGAGGAGAGTCTGGCTTTCTGGGCCAGCTGGAGATGTTTTTAGCCAACTCTGTAAGGACTGCAACTTGTCCAGTGCCCAATTTCTTCTTGTACCTCATGGGAAAGGAAGACCTGGGCTAGGAATATAGAAGGAGCCTGTAGGTACCATGACCTCACTGTCTGTCCCTGCCCAGGTAGCTGAGATCCACAGAGCCTCCAAGGATGGACAGCTCTATGACGTGGGAGGTGGTACCAAAAGCTGCAGTGCCCAGGCTGAGCCCCCAGAGCCCAATGAGTATGACATCCCACCAGCCTCCCATGTGTACTCGGTGAGTGACACTCTGGTGTGTGTCCACCCCAAACTTGGGCCCAGGAAAGGCCCCACTTCTTTGCCCTCAGTAGGGCACATCCTCTTGCACTCTCCTGGGATGCAGCCCTGGCACTGGGTCCCCTGGAACATCTCTGCTATGCTAGCTGTGCTTTTGCCAACTACAGCCTCTTCTCCCATCAGCCTGACTCCCAAATGATGTCCTGTGCAACTCCCAGGGTCTTGAGAGCCCCACCCCAACAGCCATAGCTTGGAGCAATCAACAATACCCTCCAGGGGACCTAGAGGTCTGAGCCTTTCCTCTTCTTCCTTACAGCTCAAAGCCAAGAGGGTGGGAGCTGGCTTCCCTAAAGGCTCCTGCCCATTCCAGACAGCCACTGAGCTGATGGAGAAGTCTCGGACTCAGGAGTCTTCCCAGCCTGTGCGGGGGGATGAGCAAGAACCCCCCAGCCAGCCCTCTGGCATCCAGGATAAGGATGTGAGTGAGGCCCTCCCTGGGCCCAAAGGAGAAGACCCTGGAGGTAGTGCTCACTGTGCAGGGCCCTCTGCTGAGAAGGTGAAAGCCTCTTCCAGAAGTTCAAATACCAAAGCCCGGGCCAGCAAGAAGCAGCAGCTCCTGGCCACAGCAGCCCATAAGGATTCCCAGAATATTGCCCGCTTCTTCTGTCAAAGGGCAGAAAACCCACCTCCACTCACCACAGCCCCAAGGGCAGATGGTGCCAGCCCCTCCTGTGGGAGAAAGCAGGAACCTCTGATGACTTCAGAGAAGTACACAGAGGAAGAAGATGGACTCCGGGGATATTTGATGGACCCTCCTCAGACTGAGGCATGTCCCAGTGAGGGGCCAAGGTAAGGGCACAGGGAGGGGCGGGAGTGAGGGCACAGTAGTCATGGGGTCCTATGGACTTTGCCTGGCAGCATCCCCTCTACTAACTGGGCTTCTGAAGCTCTGATGAATCTGTTGGGCTGAGGAACACCTGGCCCTGGAGCTCTGATGTTGCTCTTCCCTCTGGCCAGCACCTGCCCTCTCAAAGACCGGGGGTTCCCTGAAGCCCAGCTCATCTCCCCAAAGAAGACACAGATGGGCAAGCGGCCCAGATCCCAGCAGGTATCATCAAGGAAGAAGCACAGGGGAATGGAGGAGGCCTGTGGACAAGACCAGGAGTTCTGGTCAGGGGTTCAGGAAAATCATTACTTCTTTCTATACCCCAGGGGCAGATGGGACAGGCTAGAGGGAGCCACCTGGTGCTAAGGCACAGTCTTCCAAAAGGAGGGGTAGGAACCAGTGAAAGGGAACCCAAGAGTGACCTCTCACTGTTGTCCTGTCCAGGAGAACCCAGGGAGTCGGGCTCAAAAGAGACCTCGCCCCCAAGCCAAGCCCTCCATCTTAGCAGAGGTCAGGGGCAGTGCCTTGGGCAGTGAACAGGGTACCTTGAATGCCCTGGCCCAAGACCCCTGCCAGCTGTCAGCTCCTGGAATCTCCTTGAAGGAGGCTGCAGATATTGTGGTCAGATACCTGACCCCCTTCTACAAGGATGGCAAGTTTGCATCCAAGGTAGGGTGAGAAGGGGAGCTTTGCCCTCTCCAGGCTTAGGGTAATGGGTGGTTGGGGTGGGTGCCCCAGAACCAAGTGGGGCAGAGCAGGCTGAGCCTTCAGCCAACACCCAGCATCTGCCCCCCCTGGGCCTGCCTTGGTCATGGCCGTGGGTGGCTCCAGGGCTTGGGGCAGGTTCCTGCACTCTGTTCTGTTGCCCCTCTACCTTCTAGGAGTTGTTTAAAGGCTTCGCCCGCCATCTCTCACACTTGCTGATCCAGAGGACCTTTCCTGGAAGGACTGGTGAGCACCATCATGGCCAGGGTTGGGAGGTGGTGCAGGAGTTCTTTGAGTAGGAGATTGGGCCTTACTTATTACAAACTCCTGCCCCAAATCTGCAGTGAAGGAAGAGGCCCAGAGCCTCATCAAGCAGTTTTTCCATGGACACACCCGGTGCGAGAGTGAAGCTGACTGGCACAGCCTGTGTGGCCCACAGACATGACCCCACCACTGGCTGGACAGGGCCAGCATCCTGCCCGGACTCCATCATGGACCAGCCTGGGCCTCATGCGGAATTGGGCAGCTGTGCCAGCCTGCTGGTGCCTGGGGCACCATCTTTCCCGGGGTCGTTCCCACTTCTAATCACACCTTGCTTTGGAGATGGCCCCAGACCCTCTCAAATCTAGTCAGAGGCCAGAGGTTTGCCCAGCTTTCTGCCTGCAAAGCTTGTGGCCTTTTTTAGAGCCTCCTTGCCTCTCCTGACCCTCATGGCTGGGTTTTCTGGGCCAGATCCCCAGGTTAGAAGGGGAGGGTGGTGTGACTGCTACAAGGTTAAGAGGAAGAAGAAAGAGTCCTCTATCTTGTACTTAATAGGATGGGTCTCAGCCAGGAGTGAAGCCCTCCTCTCCAAGGTATTGGGCCCTCCCAGGTGCTCCACACCCGCTTCCCTTGAGATTACAGGTACAGCGCTATGGGGAGAGGGCAGCTGCCAGCCCCCCCCCCCCCCCGCTAAGCTCCTAGTCAGGAAGGACAGGCCTAACTGAGATGTTGACAAGAATAAAGTCCTGTTTGTCAGCACATGGCACGTGCACACACACACACACACACACACACAGGTCTTTCCTCAGGAGTTTTATTTCCTCAGCAGCTGCTTCTTCCAGGCCTAGGTTCATGCTGACATTGAGCCTGGGTGGCAACATGGGCCTCTCCTCCAGGCTGGGCAACATCAGATGCCTGGACTGAGTTCCTACAGCTCTTCCCTTCCCCAAGCCCACCCTGGAGGGAGTGTGGCTATTTTTATTCCCAGTTGAAGTCACTGTGGCGTCCCCTGCCTCAGCCTTCACCTGGGCCAACCAGGCTATTCTGTGGTGGGTTCCAGAGCAGAGTCAAGTAATGAAGTCCAAACCAGAATGACCTGTAAGGCGGACCATCTGGAAGAGACCTGGGCCAGGCAGAGGCTGCTGCCTCTTCTGTCCAACCCCAGGCCCTCAGTTGAGGCCAGGCCACTAAGTGGAATATATACTGTCATCCAACAGGAAGATGATGGTGTTCTGTAGCTCCTGGGCCTGCTTGGGCAGAGGCACGTCAGCATTGGGCTCCCTAGCCAGCTCCCATCCGCCCCTGCCCACACCACTCCTGAGCAGTGGGCACTGCTCACAGTGCAGTGGGTCCCACTGCACACCAGAGCTGGTTGGAGGCACTCATCCTCCTTCCAAAGGGTGACTGAAGGCCTGGCCACTCACCTGTGGCAGCTCCAACCAGATGGTCTGAGGGCTGTCGGCCAAGCCATAGTTGAGTTCCAGACCAGGGGGCCCTTCCTCCTCCAGGGGACTCAGCAGGCGGAGCCGCTGCAGGTCCTTCAGGGCTATGGAGCAGCACAGTTTCTGGGGATTATAGAGATGGCAAAGCTTGGCTCTTCTGGGGTGGGGCTTCAATCCATAGTGGCAGAGGAATGGCCCTTGAATCCTGGGCCAGCACCAGGGCAGGAGCTTTGCCCACCTGGGAGCTGGGGTCCATGAGGATGAGGTGCCTGCGGTTGAGCCCCAGGAGGGCAGGTCCTGGGAGGACTAGCTTGCTCACTCGAAGCACTATGTACACAGTGTAGCCAAAGAGGGGCAGCTGACTGGTGGCCTCTGTGAGTGGAGAGGGCCAGGGCAAGGGTTCTGACTTCAGGGGCCAGGAGCCTGCCCTGCTTTGTTCCCTGGGGCAGGTAAGGGCAGGCAGACCCCTCTAGCCTCCACCCCATGACCTCCTTGCATCAGACCTACCAATGAAGCTGATCTGTGCTTCCTGGGGGCTGTGTCCTTGTAGCTGCCTGAGCTCCTGACCCATCAAACTCTCTATAGTTGCCATATTCACCTGCCATTGTAGAGGCTTTGGTATATAAGCCAGTAGGTCCTGCCTAGGGTACAGAGCTGAGGTCAGTCAATCCCACCACCAATGACCATCTGGTGTAGGGCTGGGCATATGGTGCCAGGTAATAGTGCCTACTGTGGGTAAGACAAGAGATCATGCACATGAATGAGGTGAGGGCCTCACCCTGGAGAAGCTTGGGGAGGGGTAAAGAGGTCAGATATCCACTGCCTTGGCTGTTCAGGCCACTCTGAGTAGGGCCAGGAAGGGTTAGTGGAGTGACCGTCGCCTTGGAAGAGGGAGTGGGGTAGGGTCTGGAGGAGAAGCTCAGGCTGGTGCTGAGGTGGGTGGGGACACAACAGGTGTGGGGGCCAAGCTCACACACCCTGAGGGGGGGCTCTTGCTGGCCCTCCCAAGGTGCTGAAGGGCAGCCAGCCGGGCAAGTTGGTGTTCTGCCTGGGCGCTGGCCATCAGCTTCCCCTGTAGGTAGTCCCGCAGCACCTGGTGGGGGCAAGGCCATGAGGGGGGGCAGCCTAAAGCCCCCAGGAGCTCAAACCCTTTCTGCCAGCAGCCCCTTCTAGCTGCCATAGATCCAGATCCTCGTGGAGAAGGGCCCTAGATGTTGCCCAGGAAGACTCCGCCCCCAAGCTGTTGCAGCACTGGATAGCAGCCCCAGGGGCGGGGACTGACCTGGCCATAGTGGGTGCTGATGTAGGTGGGATGATTGAAATGCAGTGGGGTCTCCCAGCCCAGCCGCCGGCTGTGCAGGCTCACATCCTGGTGCACCATCACTCTGTTGAGGTACTCGTGGGGCCACAGGGGACGAACCAGCTCACCTACATGGGGAGCACAGGTCAGAATTGCCTACAGCCCACCCTGCCACCCCAGCACAGAAGCTACCTCCTGTGAACAGAATGGCCCCCAGGTGAGGCTTCCTCCCCAGACCCAGCCTGGGGGCTCTTCCCTTTTCTCCCTGGACTCACCTTCCCCTTTGATGAGAAAGAGGGCAAATTCTTCCACCTCCTGGGGGTCCCTGATGCCCATCTGCCCACACAGCTCCTCCAGCACTTCTCCTGCCACCTGTGCACGGTGATGGGACTGTGATGATGGGGGAAGGAGGCTGGGAGCCCAGAGCTGAGGCCCAGGGCCTCTTCCCTTGGCCCCCCTGCTCACCGTGAACATGTGGCCATTTGTCCTGTAATTCACACCGCCAGGCAGGTGGACCACAACAAGGCGGACTGCATGCCCTTTCTTGTGGAAACAGAATGTAGGCTGAGTAACCAGCAGTCCCATACTGCCCCCTAACCCAGGGAAGCCACAGAAGGCATCCACCCACTCCCAGTACCAAGAAAGCCTTCATTTCAGCCATGGGGGGCAGCTGTTGACGCCCCCCATACTTGACTGTTCGCTGGAGGTGCTCCTGGCTGGTCCGGGCAAGCTCTGCAGAGGGGCCATGGTGAAGGAGGTCAAGTGTGTCCAAACCCCTCCCCAGCCAGTGGGTTCCCAGCCTCCAAAGCCCCTTCCCCTTCCATTCCCACCAGCACCTTGGCTGGGGCCTGAGTCCTGCAGGAACTTTGTCACATAGGGCATGAGCGTGGTGGATGGGGGGAAGAAGCCCGAGAGGAGACTGAGGAAGCTCCAGCCCCGAGCACAGTGCTCCCTGTGGGACAGAAAGCCTGGGCTGCAGGTGGCTGGACTACAGTGCCATACTGCCCCCCCTGAGGTCCCCACCCCTGTGCCCACTCACGGCTGGGGGTGTCCTGTGACCTGCTTGATGACCTGGCAGTACATCTCATCCCTGAGGTCCTCCTTACTGCACAGCTGTGGAGACAAGAATGGCAAGTAGGCAGGCCCACAGGGTGAGGGATGCGTGGGGTCTAAAGTCAGGAAGAGATTCTGCTATGGTCCCAGGCAGGGGCCCAATCAAGGTGACCTCCCAGTGGTCACCTCTCTGTCTCAGCAGCTGGAAGCATATGAACAACTGTGTGTGTGTGTGTTGCTGGGGATGGAACCCAGAGCCTCCTGAGGTACCATATCCTAACCCTGGTCACCTTCTTTAAATTGCTTTCTTTACCTGCTTCTCTGGTCTGTTGGTCATCTTTGCTGGATCCTCCTGTCTCCCTGGCCTCCACCACTGTGATGCCCTGAGCCTCTCTCTGCACCCTCCCTGATGGTCTCAGGTGCCTGCCTCTATCTAGACTATATGCCCCCTTGAATCCCAGACCCCTTTAATCTGAAGTCTGAGTTTCAGACCTCACATGTCCAAAACGGACCCTCCAGAAACCCAGACCTGCTCTTCACCAGAGACAGTCCCTGCTCTATCCCCTTGCACCCACTGCAAGCTGGGGCAAGGGGTGTGGGCTCTGAATCTTCCCCTTGTCCCTCTGCTGCTGCCTCTGATCCTGACCTTGCACCCTCTCATCTGGGATCACTGCAGTAACTTCTTTTTGCCCTTAAACCCCACAATCTCAAGCAGTAGCAGGATGGGAAATGTAAGCCAAGTCTCTCTTCAAAACCCTTCAGTGATTCCTGTCAGTACACCATCAAAGTCCCTGCTGTGACCTGGACCCATGTACCCTGCCTGTCCCCACCCCCTCCCTCTTCTCATCAGAGTCCAGCTATGCTGCTCTGTCGGTGCTGAGGTGCACAGCCTTGTCACAACTGTTGCGCCCTGCTCTTCCTTCTGCCTCGATGTCCTGTCTCTGTGTACACATGGCTCACTCCTCCAGATCTCTGTCACAGAGTCTTCTCCCTACAGCAGCACTGCCCCTACCCAGCCCCAGCCCCAGTCTTGCCTGTTGGGTTCACAGTCATGCTCCCAGCAGATACATTTGATTGATTAAAAGGAACAGTAACCAAGGGGAGGGGATCCTGTTGAGGCGCAGGCAGAACAGAAAGAGGCCCTCAGGGCTCAAGGTGTCTGCCCAGCCTCTAGCACACACAGCTCTTCCATACCTTCAGCAGGTCATAGAGCAGGTCCATCTCCTCCTTGCCCCGTGGCTTAGACTTGTCCCCCATAAATTGCATCAGAGCTGCAGGCAGGATGAGGAGCGAGGTGAGCTGGGTTGGGGCCTGGCCTGGCTCATGCCGTCTCTGTATGGGCCTTCACCTGCCATCTGATGCCTCACTCTCCAAATGCCCATGTGCCGGGCAGGGCAGCTTTACCAGGGAGGAAATGGGCTCAGGGAAATCACATGGGTGCCCAAGGCCACACACAGCACAAGCTGTCAGCTGGACCCATCCACTGCCTTCCAGCCCCGAACTCCAAAAAACCCACAACCTGTGGGTGAGAACACAAGTGGGGGAGGACCCTGGGGCACAGGAACCACCAGCAAGCATGTCTGACTTGGCAAACTGGGGAGGAGCCAGGTAGAGCTTAGGGAGGAAGGGGGACCAGGTGTGTAGGCCCAAGGCACTGTCGACATGGGGACCCAGGATGCCACACCACTCACCCTGGAAGCCCGCCACAGCCTGCTTGCTCATGTCCTCATCACTAAGTCTGATGAGAGATTCCTGGATGGGAGACTGGCAGAAGAGGCTCAGCTGTGGGTCTTGGACCAATGTTGGTCAAAAGACAGAGACACTGGCCGGATTCCTCCCCACCTGGCCCCTTACCTTGGTGTACTGCACCAGGCTGGTTATGACTTTCCCCTGGGCACTGCCACCTCTCTGGTCCAGCCTATGCAGACACAAGAAAGGACAGCCCTGCTTGCTTGGCTCACCTGCCCTTGTTCTAGGCTATGGAGAGGGTGGGCACGCACCAGCCAGGTGGCTGTGGGCTGGGGGTTTGGGTTGGGAAGGCTGGGGACAGGCACAGGGGTTGGCCCAGGGCACTCACAAAGTGGAAGGCTTCCGGAAGTAGTGCAGGGCAAATTCTTGCATGGTGTAGTTGCGGGAGTCATTGGACAGAGAGGCATGGGCCATGGAGGAGGGCAGGCTGGTGGCCTCTGAATCATCACTGTGTGCCTGTCTCCAGGGGTGAGCAGGGCGCTGGAAGCACAGGAAACCTGGTGCCACCTGAGTGCCCACTAACCTGTCCCCAAGGCCCTACCCAGCCCCAGTCCCAGTCTTGCCAGACCCGAGAGGAGTAACACCAGAAGCCAAGAAAGTCAAGACTGTTTATTGAGAATCCTTGATAGCTGTGTTGAAATAAGCACCATGTGGGAGCCAGAGGGTTAGGTCCAGCCCCTGCTACGGGAGGTTTACAGACTTGCTGGTTCGGAAAGAAGGCAAGAGAAGGCAGAGGGGGGACAGCAATGCACCAAGCACTGACCACCAGGCCACTGGAGGGCACAGGAGGCAGGCAGCCGCTGGGGCAATCACACTCTCCTTCCTTGACTCTAGAGAGCTCTTGCCTCTGCCTCTCCTGTCTTTCTCACCTCCGAGGCCCTGTCCCATTGAGTGGGATCTGGCTCTCCCAGCTGAGGCTGACTTTTGCGCCGCCAGCCGTTCCTCTGCTCAGGGGAGGGAAGGTAGGGAGCGGCAGCCGGCTGCACCATGTCAGCAGGAAAGAGTCCAGATCGGCCCCCGGCAGAGCCAAACTGCCAGCCTAGAAGGCATACCCAAGACAGTGGTTCACCCAGCTGGCCGTGCCAGCTTAAGCAGGCTTCGCCAGTAGGATGCCCTCCTTGGGGAATACCTGGCTCTAGGTCCGCCACTGGCAATAGTTTGATGAGGTCCCCACGGTGGAAGCTTAGGAGGCTGTGATCATCAGTGATGTAACTTCGCAGGGCGATGACATAGCCGGAGTCCTGTGGGCAGGTGGGTGAGCGAGCCAGAAGCAGCAAGCCTGCCCACCCCGCCTTCTCCCCAGTTGACCTCTCCCTCCACCCAGCACCCTGAAGTTCCAGGGATCCAGCCTAAACCCCCAGTCCCAGTCCAGGGAAGCCAGAGAGGCTGAGATACAAGATGCAGGCTGCCCTCTGACCCAGCACCCGGCCTGCACTTACCTTCCTGAGTTCACCCAGGAACTGATCGACTAAGGCCTTGATGGCCCTGGCCCGGGCTGTGTGCAGCACAAGCTGCTCGCTCTTCAGCGACAGTTCTAGGGTGGAGCTGCCCTGGCACTCCACACCCAGCACCTCAGCAAAGCTACACACAGATGGAGCATGAGCTGGGGGTCATCTTGCCACCCCACCCTCAGCCTAGGCCCCAGGCCAGCCCACCTGTATGAGCAGAGTGTCTTCAGCTGGTCCAGGTGAAAGCTGGGGCCTTGGGTCACCTTGAGCAGTTTCAGCCCTCGGTGAGAAACACCTAGTAGCTGCACGTCGCTGCCACTCTCGCCCTGCCCGGAAGGTGGGTAGGTCAGGGACAGGCTCCTGGAGTCTGGCACTGCTCATTCCCTGGACCTGCACTGGGCCACTGGCACACCTCCCCCAGCACTCATCCCGCCTGTGGAGGGCCCAGACTCAGGGTGCAACCCTGGCCCTTCCCAGAGCCCCACTGACCGAGACAGGGAAGATGCGGGAAAAGTAATTGGCCCAGTTGTCCCGTGCGGCCACCACAATGCGCTTCTTGACGCTGTCTTCGACAGTGGCGAGGGAGTCCAGGCCCACCTCCAAGTCTCCTGCAGGCAGGTCCCTGATCTCAAAGGGTTCCCGTGACCACATCCTCCCTTGGGGCCAGCCCAGCCCCTGGCACTCCAGCTCCCGGATTCCAGTGTCCCTGCACCCATACCCAGCAGGTCTTTCATCTTGTGCCGCTCGTCCTGGGAGATCCGGATGCAGGACTCAGCAAAGGTGTCCCTCAGGATCTAGGAATAGAGCCAAGTGGTCACCACCACAGGTCCTGAGGCCAGAGCCCACCCCAGAGCAGCCATGGACATACAGGGAGGAAAGACTGGAGGGCCCAGTGGAGGACCAGGAGGAGTCAGGAGGGACAGAGGGCTCCCCAGCCCAGGCAGCTCCCTGCCCCTTGCCAGCAGTCACCTGCTCTCCTACCCTTCGTCTCTCTGTCCCTCCCCCACTGGTTGCCACTGTTGGGTCAGCTGAGGCAAGCTGCCCTAAAGGAACAGAATGTGGCCAGAGGGAGAAAGGAGGCTACTTTTTGGGAGCAAAAGCACAGCCCTAGGAGCATTCATAGGTGGCAACACAACAACCACCATTTATGAAGCACCTACTGTGTACCAGGACCTCATTGCTAAAACTAGGTTAATCATGTTCTTCACTCTGTAAAGGACTCTAAGAGTCAGGGCTGGGCACACAAAAAGTGCCATTGCTATTATGCCCCTCACACGGGTGTTAACCCGAGCTAGGAGCTGGGCTAAGGGCCACAGGATGCTGTCTGGCTGCAGACGTGGCAGGCTGGCAGGCGAGCCCAGCCCTCACCTGCTCACAGAGAAGCCGGAGGCAGTAGGGATGGCTGAAGTTCTCCCGAGGGTAGAACACCTGGAGGAGAAGGGGAAAGAGTAGAGATTGGGTGGGCCTGTGTCCTACCCAGCCCACCTCTGCCCTTTCAGGCACAGACTGGGAAACCAGCCCTGAAAAGGTGGGTCATGAGGAGTGCCAGGTCGGGATCCCCAGCCCAAAGAGGCCAGGCCAAGGCCCACCTCTGATGCCCACTTTGATGCCTACCTCCTTGCGTAGGAACAACTTCCAGGGGGCGCTGGCATAGGAGAAGCACACACTGCCAGAGGGCACAAGGAGCTGGGTGGAGATGCCCCGGTCCCCCATGGGCTCTGACAAGACTGTCAAGGGAGGATAAGGAGCTTCAGGTGAGGGGCTGCCAGGGCCAGAAGGCCAGGGGTTCAGGGAGGGAGGACCCTTGTCCTTGCCTGCCTCCCTCAACCCCCAGCTGGATTACTCCTGAACTCAGCACTATCTCCTGCCTCCATTTCTGGCCCTAGATGTCCCTGGTGTCCCTGCACACATCGGTCATGAACACTGAATTCCCCACAGAGCTGCCAGGTCTGCATCCTGGACAACACTCTGTGTTTGACAGTCCCTCAGTGACAGGCCCAGGGTTCCCGAGCCCTGCCCGGGGAGGGAATGCGGAAGCTGGGGCTCCATGGCTCCAAAGTCCAAAAGCCCAAGCAGCTGACCTCAGCTGTGTAGAGATGACTTCAGCCATGGGGTCCCCAGAGGCTGTTGACCCGATGAGGCCCCACTGCACAGGGGGATGGGATTCCTTACCGCGAGGCTCTGCCAAAGGGGTCCTGGGCTCCTCGGATGAAGGCAGTGGGGGTGCTGGTGGCAGTAGGGGTTCCTGGGCAGTGGGAGGGTTTAGGCCAAACAGATCCCGAAGGGGCCCCTGCTTTTCCTTGATGGAGTTGGAGGGCCCAAGCCGTGGCTGGGCCTTGGGTCGGGGAGCCACAGCTGGTGGTGGGCCCTTCCCCAGGCTGGGGGACAGAGTCTGGGGGGGAAAGAGAAGGCACAAGAGCTGGGTCAGTTGGCAAGGCTAAATTCACCCCACGAGTAGATCAGACCATGCCCTGAAGAAAATAGACAGGAAACTCACTGAGGGGGGCGAGTGGGCACCATTGATCCCCAGCTTGGCCAGAGCCTCGTCTTTAGGGTCATTTTTCTTCAGGAAAGTTTTGAGGGGCCTTGTAGGAGAAGCAAAAGATCACTAAGTCTCTGGGGAAATTTCCTGAGAGAAGCAGGCCAGCCATCACTCCCTGGGCTGACCTGGTTGGCTGCACGGGCACGGGCACAGGGCTGGGGCGGCTCTGGTACATGCGGATGATGTTGCGAATTTCCTTGCTGGGTTCTGGCCGCTGCGGGGTGGGGCCCAAGCTGCGCACCATGGGCCCTTCACCCTGGGCTGGCTGTGCTGCCTCAGCTGGCTCAGCCTCAGCCTCTTTTGCGGCTTTGGCTACACCTTGTTTCAGTGGCTTCTTCACTGAGACAGGAGGAGGAGGGGAAGAAGGGGACAGCACTGACCAGAAGAAGAAAGAACATTAAACTCTGCACAGAAAAGCAGGAGCCCCAGGCCCCGTCTGTCTGCCCCACCTGTTCCTGTTTCCTCTTCTTTTTCCTCCGTCTCCTCCCCCTGGGGGATCTGGACCTTGGCTGGAGGCTTCACCATTTTCACCTTGATCTGCTGCTGTCCTGTAAATGCCCCACACGGCCTTCTTGTCATCTATGCTCGCCCAGCAGCTCTTACCGGGGGCCCCCCGGCAGGCCATACTGACGGAGATCTGGGGGCACCCTCTCCTCCCCTGGCCAGTTAGAGTTCCACATGGACTGCCACCCTAAGCACCCTCACCCATCTTCTGGAAATAGTCCCGTTTCTGCTGGAAGCTCTTAGGGCGCTGGGGCCTGTCTTCAGCCTCCTCTGAGGTCTCCTCCTGGCCCAAGGGAGATGCAAACTGCAGCCCCAGCAAGCACACGTCTCGTCCACGACCTCCCCGTCTGCTCCCTTTCCCAAACCTTCACACGCACCCAGCCCATGTGTCTCAGCCCGGCATCTTTGGACCCTCCCCAGGCCTTGTATCCACCTGGCCTTCATTCCTCACCCTCAAGCAGGCCCCTCCTGCTTCCAGGTCATGCTCTGGCTTCTCTAGGGGAACAGGGGGCTTCTTGGGCTTGGGAGTGACAGCTGAGGGCGGGGCCTGGGAGGCAGCCCCAGAGGCCTGGGCTTGGCGTTGGCGCTGCTGGTTCTGCTGCTCCAGGGACAGGCTCATGGCCTGGGTGGTCATCTGTTGGGCCTTCAGGGGAGGGGTGAGAGGCCAGGTAAGAACCCTGGGTGGCCCCCACCCCACACACCCATCCTCCCCCAGGCAGCCCCATGGGCCCTGCCACTCTCACCAGGATCAGCGCCTGCTGGTTGATGAAGTTCTGCTGCTGGATTGCCAGCTGCCTTGTGTCCAGGCTGGGAAGCAGGGGCTGTGGCTGCGGCTGTGGCTGCGATGGCACTATCATGGCTACAGGGGCAGCAGGTGGCCAGAGCAGGTGAGTGCCACTTGTGCCCTCGGGACTCCTAGAAGGCCCTTTCATGCTTCAATCTCAAAGCTAGCTGCTACAAGGGACCCTGATGCCCCCTGCCTGGCCTTACCTGGCATGGTGGGGACTGTGCCCACCGCCGGCATCATGGGCATTGGTGGAGGCATCATAGCTGGCTGGTATCCAGGCATTTGCATCATCCCTGTGTACACTAAAGAACCAGGCTCCAGGTCAGTCTCTGCCTGAGCTCACACACAATCTCCCTCCAGCCCCAGGCCAAGAGAAGAGCAAGGGCATCAGCCCCCCGGGTGCTGGCTGGAATCCCTGTCCCAGCTGCCTCGGGGTCCAGGCCACCCCTGACTGTGCTACTGGGCCAGGTGGCCCTGGATGGAATTCAACCCCACACTCACCCATGGGGTAGCCCTGCTGCATGGGCCCGATGGCACCCCCTCCCTTCATGCGGCTGTTCAGAGCCCAGCCTTGTTCCAGATCCTGAAGGGACAATAGTCACAGTGTCAGAACTAGTGCCTGGGAAAAATGGAAGGAGCAGCAGAGGCCCCAGCAAGTTGAGGCACGGCCAGGATGTAGGGAACACTCACACTGAGGCCTGGGGCAAGGACAGGCTCAAAGATGTGGTCCAGGAAGCCATCCAGGCTCCCCGATGTCCGGGCCTCCCCTGTGGGGCAGGGACAGTTTGGAGCATCCGGCCAGAGTTAGGGCTGCTGGACTCCCATTCCCAGCACTCTGCCAACTCAGCGAGCCTTACCTGTGTGGCCTCTGCTGGGCAGTGCTGGGGCTGGACCTGGAGGTGGGCCTGGAGGCGGGCCTGGAGGCAGTGAGGGGGCCTGGACACCAGGGGCAGGGGGAATGTTCTCGGCTCTGCAGAAACCAGTAGGTCTAGCTAAGGGGGCTGCTGAGGCAGAGAGTAGCACCCAAACTGTGGGGATGGGGTGGGGAAGGCCGGGGGCAGTGCTGGGTCTGTAGCAGTACCTATGCTGCCTCAGGGTGTGACAGGGTGACTACAGGGGTCACTAGCCAGGGGAGGGCAGACCAGGGATGGAGGGCATGGGTAGACCTACAAGCCAGTGGGGGTGATGGGGTAGCTGCGGGGACCTGCTGGGTCCCCAGGGTCCTCCATCTGGCCAATCAGGTCCAGCACAAAGTCACAGCCAGCCAAGTCCTGCCAAGCATCCCCAGAGTGTAGTGACACAGACCAGCCTCGAGGGGGCACATCCAGGCCTCTGGGTGGAACAGCAACATGCAGTAGGGAGTTGGTCAGTGAGTCAGATGACCATCCTGCAGGGGCAGGGAGCAAGGGGAGGCAGCCCAGGCCCTTCCAGCCCTCGGCATCGGCATCGTCAGTGGGCTGCAGGGCTCCGGTCTCGCTGGGCAACGCAGGCAGCCCTCCTCGTTACCCCGCGGCTCTGCTGCCCTCATCCACAGAACTACTGAGTGAGGATTTGGACCCGGGCTTTGGTGCATCCCCTCCACTCTGCTCCCCATCTGGAATCCACGGTCTGACCCACTCACTTACCTTAACCCAGCCCCCTCCCTGACCCTGGGGAGTAGCCTCAGTCCCTGAGCCCTAGGAGGTGTGTGGCACGAGGGAGGGAGAACAAGGATGGGGACAAGCGTTAGCTCTGGTCCCAATGGCCCCCAGCCTGATCCTCATACCTGCTCTGTAGGATCCACCCGGCAAATTGCTCCCCTGTGGTCCAGGACTCCACCTCGGCCGAATAGCACTCCTCTGCAGGGGAGGAGGTGGGACAAGGGTGAGGGACAGCAGGGTCCACCCTGGCAGCCAGGGGCTACTGTCCTGGGAGGAATCCAAAAGCAGAGGAGAGGGGAGATCAGAGTGACATGGGGCGGGGGGCAGCAGGAAGACCAGAGCAGGAAGGGAGCCGAGAGGGTAGAGGGCGGGGAGGCCTGGCAGGAGGGGGCCATCACCATTGAAGGTGAAGACATCCAGCGCCATGCGGCCCCTCCGCCATCCTGCCTTCCACTCGAGCTGGGTGGGCGCGTGGGCCCGTGCAGCCCCAGGGGCCAGCGGTGTCTGCTCCAGGGCTCCCAGCAGCTTGTGTTGGCATACTGCCGCCATGCCCTGGGGGGCCTGGTCCGAAACGAATCTGCAGGGACAGTACCGGGTTGCAGTAGAGGAGAGGCGTGTGGACCCTGCCCCCCAGGTCCCCTGCTGCCCATCCCATTACTTGAGCAGTGGCTTCTGCAGGGCGGGCATTGGGGGGAAGGCGCTGAGCAGGACAGCCATGAGGGCCCAGCCGCGCTGGCTCGGTTGCTCGTCAGGGTTCTGCCAGAGCTGGGACACGAGCTGGCTGAAGAGCTCATTCCGCAGCCCTGGCCGGCGCTGCCCCTGCCTCACCAGGTAGGTACCCACGGTCTGCTCCTGCCAGGACTGCAGGGACCCGTCTCCCAGGAACCGCAGCATCTGCCACACAATGCCAGGCCAGAGCAGGAGGGACAGGACTCTCATGTGCTGCCCTGTCCCTGGAGGGTCCACACTGTCCCCTCCCCAATGTGTCACTCACCACCTTGTTGATGTCCAGAGCAAGTTGGGGGTTCTCACCATCCAGCTGGGTCAGGGGCTTGGCCAGCAGCTGCCCTGGACTGGGCAGGGATGGCTCCTGCAGGGAAGAAGGGTGACATGGCATTTGTCCTCTGTGCTGATCAGCGGGAGGACAGTCCTGGGGACCCGCACAGGAGAAGGAGGGGGACTGGTGCACAAAGACATCTTAGAAATGCATCTTTCTTTTTTTATTTTTATGTGTGTGTGAGTGTGTGTGTGGTGCTGGGGATTGTCCCAGGACCTTGTGCATGTGAGGCAAGCACTCTACCAACTGAGCTGTATCCCCAGCCCAGAAATGCATCTTAACAAATCTTTGATTAGATTGAGATCCACATGTAGAGAAAGCACAGAAAAGGATAAAAAAAAGAAAATGAAAACCACCATTAACATCCTACTGCCAGAGAGAACCAGAGTAAGCCTTTTAGCCTCTCTCGTCTTCCTTTCTGTGCCTAGATACACATACCCTAGCATCCCCACTTTTGGGTGTTTTTTTTTTTTTTTAAGCAAAATTGGGATCCTACTACATGTGCAGCATGGAATCCTGCTTTTGATTTGAACGCTGCCTCCCAGACAGTTTCCCTTGCTGTGAACATTCTTAAGGACACGACTTCAATGGCGGAACAATACCACAGGTAGGCACCCAGGTGTGGCCTCACAGATGGAAATAACTCTATGGTGACACATCTCGGTTTAATGGGTATTTTCAGATCTGTCCAGCTGCACCCACAGCCCGGGTGACTACAAAGGGTAGAGAAGGTGGGGAGGCCCAGCTCATCCCTGGAATGTGCTGAGACTGGGAACCGCAGGGCCAGAGGGAAGTGCTCAGGCCTGGGGGCCCACCTGGAAGCTGCTAGCGATGAAACTGGAGAAGGGGAATTGGTCAATGTCCCGGGGGAGGGTCAGTCTGGGCCGGGCAGGAACCTCAGGAGGCATGGACTCGGTGATGCTTCCAGCCAGGGCATCCTGGTGACCTGGAAAGGAGCACAGGAGGAACCTGAAGGTACCCAGCACCTATCTCCAGGAAGCTGGCAGGGAGCTCTGGGAGAGGCAGAGTCACTGCACAGTCAAGGGACTGGGGCACCAAGGAGACCCACCTTCTGCTCTCTTCAGCATGGAGGCCAGCTCAGCTGGGATCTCCAAACGCCCCAGCTCCTGGTGGGGAGGAACAAGATACCAGGAACCAAGGGAGGGCACAGAGGCACCTGGTATCCCCCTTCCCTCAGAACAATAGACATCCCCTCCAAAGACCAAGGACTCTGGTCCTACGCACTCAAATAGAGCCCCAAGAGCCTCGGAGGGAGACTGAGGGTGGCTGCTCCTCTGTTCAGGTGACACATAAGGATAGTGACCCTGGCAGCTCCCCTGACTCTCTACCCTCCCCAAAGCTATGTCAGGCTCAGCAGGCTCAGACCCCCTCCCCCAAGGAGTCCCTTCCCAGTCCCAGGCCACCTACCATGCTTGACGCTTTCTCCAAGGCCCCACCACTGTGCCGACCACACTGGCCACGCGGCTGGCCAAGCTGTGGGGGAGATGCAGGAAGAGCTGACTCCCTACCCAGCCCCACATAAACACCACCGTGAGCCTCCCAACGGCACTTCCCCAGTTCCACAGGTCAGAGTCCCCTCCTGCCTGCTGGAGGCCCTGATTCCAAAAAAGGATCAGCACAGACCCAGAGGGGCCAGTTGTCTGCCAAGTGGCCAGTTTGTTCCTATCTGACCCCAGCCCTTCAGAGCTCTCACCTGCCTCCTCACTGTGCACGTCACTGCCCGTCTGCCAGGACTCAGGGAAGAGGACAGGAAGACGGGAAGAAATGGTCCCAGAGGACAAAGTTCAGCCAGGGAGGCGCCAGGGAGGGAGGCACTATGTGGGCACTGACCTTTGAGCGGCTTTATGGGCCTCAACTTGGAGTCATCAGGCAAGAGGGGGAGAACAAGGGGCCCACGGGAGGGACAGAGGGAATGGAAGAGACTCCAGGCAAGAAAGAAGACAGTAGACTCCCAGGTCCCAGATTGCCCTGGCCAGAGAAGAAACAGGGAAGAGTTCAACGTGGTCTCCGAGACCTCAGTTCTTGTGAGGCTGGGCTGAGGGCAGACACTGTTGAGATTTAGACACCCTGAGCTTCCCTAGCCCAGTATCTGTCTCCCATACCCCTCACCTGCAGCCTCTGCCGTCTCTGGCACAGGGGCTGGACCACAAGGAGGATGGTGTTCAGCTGTCCCAGAGCCACTCGACGCCGGAGGTACCGCTTTCTGGAGGCCAGGGAGTGTGATGAGGCTCCAAATTTATACCTACTGCCTGGTACTCAATCCCTCCAAGCCTAGACATTATGTAAATCTGACTCTGGACCATGAAGCCCCTGAACGCTTAACAGAAGCAACAAGAAAAGAACAGGACATTGTGAAAAAGGAACAGGTAAATGGAGCGGCTGTTTGGCAAAAGGGGATCAAGACCTGACTCCTGAGCTGGATTACCTGGATCTAAATCATTCCCTGCTAATTAGTCAATGTGACTGTGGATAAATTATTCTACCTCTTTGTTTTACTATAGAACTTACAAAGTTAAAAAGTGACCTCATAAATTTAAATAAGAGATCCCAGAAAAGGGAATATGAAAATAAAATAGCTTTCAGAATTTCCCAGTCATAGGAAGACTTGTCAAAGGAGGAATCCTGAACAGTATAAACATAAAAATAGGGCCAAGGGCGTGGCTCAGTGGTAAAGCACTCGCCTAGCTGTGTGAGGCCCTGAGTTTGATCCCCTGCACTGCAAAAACAAAAACAAAACAAAGAAACAAAAGCTCAGTGGTGAAGCGCTCACCTAGCATGTACAAGGCCCTGGGTTCCATCCTTAGCACCACATAAAAATAAATAAACAAAATAAAGGTGTTGTGTCCAATTACAACTAAAAAACAAACAAACAAACAACAACAACAATAAAAAAGACCCTGCAACTTTTTGTGGCTGAAAGGGCACTATGAACAGGGTGAAAAGACAAACCACAGAATAAGAAACTATTTGCAAATCACATATTTGATAACGGCTTAATATCCAGAAAATAAAACGAACTCCTACAGCTCAACATCAGGAACAGCCCATTTAAAAGCTAAGCAGGGGACTTAAATAGATCTCTCTCCAAAGAAGACAAATAATGGCTAAAAAGCACACAAACAAATGCTCAATGTCATCGGTCACTAGAAAAATAAAAATCAAAACCATGAGTTAGCAGTCACATTCACTAGGATGGGCATGACGTAAAAACACAAAAAATGACAGGTATTGCCAACGATATAGAGAAACTGGAACCTTGTACATTGCTGGTAGGAACAAACATGACGCAGCCACTATGGGAAACAGTCCAGCAGCTCCCCGAAAAGTTCGACACAGAAATGACCACGCGGTCCAGCAATTCCACTCTTAGGTACAAACCCCAGAGATTTAAAAACAGAGCCTAGAGCCAGGCATGGTGGTACCCGCCTGTAATCCCAACAACTTGGGAGGCTGAGGCAGGAGGATCGCAAGTCCAAGGCCAGCCTCGGGAACTGAGTGAGGCCCTAAGCAACTCAGCAAGAGCCTGTCTCAAAATAAAAAAAATAAAAAACAGGCTAGGGATGTGGCCCAGTAGTTAAGCAATCCCTAGTACAACAAAACAAAACAGAGCCTAGAACACACACTTGTTTACCTGTATTTATAGCAGCATTATTCAGAAATAATAGAAACAACCCAAATATCTATCAATGGATAACCTGATAAATAACGTGTGGCCAATCCATACAATGGAACATTATTCAGCCATAAAAAGAAATGAAGTTTTGATCCATGCTTCAACACAGATGGACACAAAAAGCCTTATGCTAATAAAATAAGCCAGATATAAAAGGATCCTATAAGTCAACTTACATGAAACATCCCGAATAGAGGCAGAAAGTAGGTTGGAAGCTAGCACAGGTCAAGGGCGGGAGGAAGAGGGAGTCTGTGCAGTGGTAACAGTTTGTGTTCGTTCAATGGAAAAGTTTTGGAAATGAGCAGGGATGACCGTTGCCCCTCTCGGAGGGTCCCCTGGTGTTGTCCACACAGAGCAGTCTCCACTTTATTCTCAGTCCTAGTCATCCCTTGGGGTGACTAGGGGCTGAGTTAACCACCCCGGGAGGCACCATCCTGATGCCATCACCCCTGTGTCCCAGTGTGTGGCATGAATGGGTGACGATGGCTGTGGAGGGTCAACAGGAGCTGATGGGGGAATGGGAGTCAGCGGGGAGGAGGGCAGCACCATGGGCCTGAGAAGCCCGTGCGTGGCTGCCTCGCACGCCAGGCAAGAGCTCTACCACTGGCCCACACCTCCAGCGCCTGATTTAAATGACCCTTCCTGCTGCAGGGTGGAGGACAGACTAGAAAAGAGCGGGTCAAGGAGTTGGACCCATAGTTCAGGTGGCCTCTCAGGTAGCCTCTTATGCCTGGGGTACTCAAGCAGAGGCTGCCTGGCATGGCAGGAATGCTGTCAGGAGGAGTCCAGAGCAGATGGGATGTCTCTGGGGCAGGCAGAATTACCTTGGGACCCTACCTCCCCAACACTGCCCCCCACCTTGAGGAGGAGCCCGTGGCCTCTTCCCTAAGGCCTCCTCCCTAATCAGCCCTGGCTCCAGTGGCCCACCTGGCCTGGACCCCGAGCACACGAGCCTGTATCCGGGGCAGGAGGCGGAGGCGCTGGCGGGAGACTCGGGCACGGAGGCCCCGGTGCAGGGTGAACAGAGGAGCCTGGGTGCGCCTCTGCGCCCACAGCCTCTCCAGCTGCTGCCAGCCCCTCTCCTGCAGCAGGACCTGTGGGTAAGGTCGAGGCTGCAGTGGAACAGGCAGGGGACCAGTGCCCACCTGCTCTCCTCCTCTTTCCTCAGCCTCCTCCCTCCCAGCCACACTGTGCTCTGGGGTGCCTGCCACCCAGCCCCTCTCCACCTGCCACTGCCCGCCCCACTGCATCCTTGCATACACACACCCACCTTAGTGGCCCCGAGGTGATAGAATGGTGACTCAGCCCCCAGCACCTGACAGAGGATGGCACCACACCTGTCCCGATCGGAGTCCTCCTGTCCTTCCTTCCCCAGGGCCTGGAACCTGCCCCAAGGAGGCAGAGCCAGGTCAGGACAGCTTCTTAGCTCCTTTGACACTGGTTTGCACCCAAGCCCCTCCGTATTCATTTAGTTCCTGGGTCATTCACAATGTGGAAATCCTGCCATACTAGGCGCATGGCTGGGTGCTGAGACCTGGCTGTGAACAGGGCTCTCCTCGGCTCTTGGGAGGAGACAGGTGGTTGGAATGCGGTGCACAGATAGGGCCATAAGACCAGTCCTGGGCTGTGGAAGCAACAGGAATGTGATCCTGAAGCTTGGTGAGTCCTGGTGGCCGGCACACCCTTACGCAGCGGGTGTCAAGGCGTGGTTTTGGAAGAGAGGTTGGGGGAAGCCCCAGAGCAGCAGGGGATGCTCACCACAGACCTTCAGACAGACCTGGACTGTGCTGAGAGGACAGCTGTACCCCAAAACCCCCTACCCAGCCTCAGGGCTTCCTGGAGGAGGTGGCAATGCTGCATCTGGTAAGTGTCCAAAGGGCAGGGAGGAACCTTCCCTGCCTGGCCTTCTCAGTGTCTGGCTCAAATACAGGTGCACACACCTGGTAGCCCTTCAGGGGGCGCCTGCAAGGCCATCCAGTCAGTGGCAAAGGCCAAATAGGCAAAAAACACAAGTCACCAGCTTTTCTAGCAGTTTCTGAACTCCCCAGAGCCGCCCAGTGTTCCTAGGGCTGACCCAAGTCTGTGTGCATCTGAAGGGCTCTGCTCTCCCTGTCCTCCCTTCTCATGTCACTAATTCAGCCAGCACTTCCTGAACACCGACTGTGTCCCTTGGCTACACTGTGAGCCCCCAGGACAGGCTTTGCCAACCTCATCCCTGGTCCCTGGGCATTAGCGCCAGAGAGGCGTGTGGGATGGAGAAGGGCCCGTGAGTGCAGCAGGGTGAGAAGGGTGATGGGAAGGGAGAAGGAAGGTTGGACGCCAGGCCCAGGGTCCCAGGGAAAGTGGGTCCCTCCCTCCAGGAAGGAGCCCAGGTCTCCCAGGTCGGCCTGGGAGCCTCCCTGTCAGCCCTGCCCCCCAGGTGCTGGGCCCCGGGAGGCCCCGCCCTGAGGCCCTACCTGGCCAGGAATGCCTGGAAGGGCATGCGCACAGGGAAGTGGGCACTGCGGGTGCCTATGGCCTCCAGGATGCCCGCCTGGTGCAGCTGCTCTGCCACATGTCCCACATCAAAGAGGCCTGGGATCTGGGGCCAGAGAGCGCCAGTGAGAGGAGGGGCTGAGGGCTCTGCGTCCAGGGGAGCAAGGGAAAGGGGCAGGGCCGGGCAGTGTGGGGAAGGCCCTGGGACCCCGGGAGCTCACCTTTCCAGGGTTGGGGTCAAGGCACTGGATGAAATAGATGTGGCTCCTGCTAAATGGAAGGGGAGGTCACTGGGCACAGACCAGCCCCCATTCAACTTCCGGGGGCCTTGTGGGGGAGCACCATAACCCTCACCTGCCCAGCCGGGCTAGGAGGTCTCCTAGGGACTTCTGGAAGCGAGAGGTCAGCGTGGATTGGCCTGGCCCTCCTCCAGCCCAGGGCTCTGCTTCCTGGAACAGGCTGCGTACCAGCTGTGGGGCAAGACAGGGCTGAGGCCCCCCGAGGCCCGCCCACCTGCCCCACAGCCCTGGGGACCCAGGCAGGCCAGCTCTGGCACACTGAGCCTGTCATGCAGGGCGCTGGGGCTTGAGGGCCAGCCCCTTTGGCAAGGGCATACGGGGAGGAGGACAATGGGGACAGAGTATGGAGGGGCAGGGCTGAGGCTGCAGGGCACCTGGAGCTGGCTCTGAGCAAGCATTCCCACCACGGCAGCGTCCAGGTGGTCCCAGTTTCTGTTCAAGAACTTGTGGACCTACAGGAGACATGAGTAAGCGGGCCGGGAAGCGAGAAGGCTGTGCGTGGTGGCCAGACTCCCGCAGGAGGAGGGCAGCCTCTCTCCAGCATCAGAAGGCCCCTGGTCAGCTGTGCAGGCCTCTCACAGCCCTGAGGCGGCCACTGGACTGGCTGTTCCGTTCCGTGGATGCCACTCCTCATGAATGCCGTTCCCCTTTCGGGGCAGGGCGTTTTCCTACCTGGGAGAGCAAATCACCCCTTCTTGACTTTTCAGTATTTTATTGGTTACTTTCCTGCATTTCTTCTCCAGATAAAGCTTCGGAATAATTTTTATCAACAATCCATTTCCCCTCCTGTAAGAATTCCATCAGAGTTTTGGCTGGAAAGGCAATGACTTTTCTAGGTTGACGAGGCAAGAACGGACCACATTGTGGTTTATCTTCCTTTTTTTTTTCTTTTGCGGGGGGCGGGTACCAGGGATGGAACTCAGAGGCACTTGACCATTGAGCCTCACCCAAGCCCTATTTTGTATTTTATTTAGAGACAGGTCTCACTGAGTTGCTTAGCACCTCGCTTTTGCTGAGGCTGGCTTTTAATTTGTGATCCTCCTGCCTCAGCCTCCCAAGCCACCAGGATTACAGGTGTGTGCCACCGTGCCCGGCTTGTCTTCCATTTTTAAGTCTTCTTTTTTGATATTCAGAGTTGTGTTTTGGAACCTAGGGCCTTGCACGAGCCAGGCAAGTGCTCTACCCCTGAGCTACGTTCCCAGTCTTCACAGTTGTCTTTATTAACTCCCAGGTAGTTTTTGTTTTCTTCTACAACCAGAGCATGCCCTCGCCGCCAGGGATCCTCCTTGACGCTTCCCACCTCAAGTCTATCACACTGTACCCTCCTGCATCCAGGAATCCTCCCGTCAGGGACTCTCCTCTTGGGAAGTCCTCGGTAGATGTGAAACTCGGAGCAGGACAGGGAAGTCCATTCACTGAGCACCTAGCAGGCCCCTCAGTGCTACTGCATTTAATACTCATGCCAATGCTGTAGGACCGACTTTCATGCCCAATTTACCGATGAGGAAAAGGAGGCCCGGCAGGCAAAGTGCCTGGGTTCTCGGCCGCGGCCCAGCCCTGTGCTTTGCCTCTACATCTGGAAGGTCCCAAGGCTTTGACCCTGTCGCCCCAAGATGTTCACACAGAATCCAAAAATCATGCTCAGAACTGAGTGGAGCCGATGGCCCAGGTGGGGACACAGGGCTAAGCATGAGAAGTGCCTCTCACCCATATCCTCTCACCTGTCAAGTGACTCAGTTTAGGAGGGGACATCAAGGTCACGTCACCTCATTGATCCACCCTGGAGTCTGTCCCTAGGCCAGATACCTGGTAGGTGACTGTCCCAGCGTAGTGCCGCACTGTGAAGATGGGCAGGGGCAGCTGAGGCTTGGCGTAGCTTGGGTGATCACCATGGTGATAGTGGCACTTCTGGAGGAAGGTGTGGTCTGTGGCCTGATAAGGGGATGAGTGGCACCTCCTCAGGCTTTGCACACACTGTCCCCTGCAGAGACTGCACTCCCTCCCAGTGACCCCAGGACCATATGCCCTGAATATAAGGGAGGTCTTGTCCCCCCAAACTCTCCTCAGACAGGAAGAGTGACTATTGAGTCGCTCGAAAGGTGTCTCTCCCTTTTCTTTTTCTTTTCCCTTCTCCAGTGCTGGGGACTGAACCCAGGGGTGCGCCACCACTGAGCTATACCCCGGCCCTTTTAATCTTATTTTGAGACAGGGTCTAAATTGTCGAAGCTGACCTCAAATTTGTGTCAGTACTAGATTTGGCAGCTCGAGGAGGCTGCCTGAAGGGTCAATTAAAGGAAACAAGGGCCAGGGGACTTTAAGACAGATGCAGCAATTACTGCGGATGTAGGATCCCACAATTACAGCTTCTAAATGAGTATTTCAAACATTATTTTCCACATGTAACCAGGCAGAGCTTACTTGACGGAGCTAATGAGCACATGGCAATCAATCAGGGGAGTCTGACTCCTGCTGCCCACAGGAGAGCCATGGCTCAGACCCACCCAGTGCTGCGTTTCAAATAGCATAGAACTAGAGGGGGTCTCAAGCCTTGGAAAGCCATGCTAGGTGCTCCAAAAGTAGCCTTGCGGCCTCAAAGACACCAGTGACAAGTTTTAATAAGACATCGTGGGCCAGGCAAGGTGATGCACTCCTGTAATCCCAGCTACTCAGGAGGCTGAGCGGGAGGATCACAAGTCTGAGGCTGGCCTCAGCAACTCACTGAGACTCTGTCTCAAAATAAAGTGGAAACAAGGCTGGAGGTGTAGCTCAATAGCAGGGCGCTTGCCTAGCATGTGTGAAGCCCTGGGTTCAATTCCCAGTACTCACTACTCACCAAAAAAAAAAAAGTAACGTGAGCAGGGGGAAAAGCAATCCTTTACAAATTAATATACTGTCTTATCTAGTAAGGGATTTCAAATATGTTTGAGTTTCATAAATGAATGTTGGCCTGGGGATATAGCTCAGCAATACAACACTTGCATAGCATGTGTGAGACCCAGTTCAATCCCCAGAACCAGAAAACAAACGATAAATGAAAGTTACAGGTGGGGGCAGTGGTGCACTCCTGTAATCCCAGTGGCTCAGGAGGCTGAGGCAGGAGGATTATAGGTTCAAAGCCAGCCTCAGCAACTTGGCAAGGCCCTGAGCAACTTAGAACCTGTCTCAAAATAAAAAATATAAAAAAAAGGCTAGGAATGTGGCTCAGTGGTTAAGCACCCTTGGATTCAATTCCTCATATCAAAAAAAAAAAAGTTACATATTAAGGTAATATGTTACATATCAGTATCTATTATATATTAACACTTAAGTATTACATTGATATCATGGTGACTATCATCTATGATATGTGATATGAATGATCATAATTATGTGTTGGATTATTCTACCATTATTTTTCATTTCTGACCTCTAATTGGGACAACGGGCATGGCTTATATTCAGGGTCATGATATATTTAACTTTTATAGATATTCCTGTTCTACCTTCTGGCCTCAGTTCCCAAAGAAGGCCTGGGACCCACATATGTTCTTAGAGCCTCACAAATCCACCCACAGATCATGCATGTGGGTTTTATATCAGCTTCTGCATTTTTGGCTTAGGGTTTTCTATACCCCTTCCCGTGCCGTGCTGGGGATGGAACCCCAGGGCTTTGCATGAGCTAGGCAAGCGCTCTGCCACTCAGCTACATCCTCAACCCCATCCTCCTTTTTAAAGACATGATCTTGGTTGGGGCTGTAGCTCAGTGGCAGAGCGCTTGCCTAGCATGTGTGAAGCACTGGGTTCGATTCCCAGCACCACATAAAAATAAACAAAGGCATTCTGTCCATTTACAACTACAAAAAAAAAAAAAAAAAGACATGATCTTTCTAAGTTGCCCAGGCTGGCCTTAACCCTCCTGCCTCAGCCTGCTGGGCTGGGACTGCAGGTGTACACCACTGCACCCAGCCTTTTCCTTTTAAATCAGCATTTCTGGGCTCTACGGTCTCTCTTTGCTCACCTTTTATCCTTAGCATACTTCCTGGCACAGAAATTCATTATCAAACTCTTTTTTTAATATTTATTTTTCAGTTGTAGCTGGACTCAATACCTTTATTTATTTATTTTTATGTGGTGCTGAGGATCGAACCAAGGGCTTCGCATGTGCTAGGTGAGCGCTCTACCACTGAGCCACAACCCCAGCCCCCCCATTTTCAAATTCTTAAGGGTCTCTGGATCCCATAACCTCTACAAGGTTCCAGCCTGGCCAACCAGGGCCCCTACTCCTTGTCCCTGACACTGGGGCCACAGCCCTCACCTGGGACAGCCAGGTCTGGGCATCCAGGATCCTCAGGAGGCTGTGGGGATGGTCTACTAGGAGGTCCAGGCAGGACTCCCTCAAAGGCTGAAGGAGGGGCACCCAGGGCAGCAGCTCCCGCCGACACTCCTCCTGGGAACAAACAGCTTTTGGCCATTTACGATCTACGTCCCCAGGGACCCCCTGAGCTGAAGCAGGGCTCACTTTCCCATTTTATAGATGAGTGAACTCAGTTCAGGAGAACCCAGCCATCCCATGAAAGGGGGACTCGGGCAAGCTCTCATGCATCACTTTTCCTTCACCAAGGTGGCCTCTGCACTGGGCAGTGCCCTGGCCCCCGTGCTGTCTGTGCTCAGCTCTCCTACCTCCTCCTGGGCCAGCAGCACTCGGCTGCAGAAGAGCTGCAGGTGCTCGCTGGCGAGGTTGTTGCACAGCTGCTCCAGGCTGTTCACCCGCAGCGCCTGGGGCACGGGATAGTGGGGACAGCGGGGACAGCGAGGTGAGCACACAGGGCAGGTGGGGCCAGCGCAGGTGGGGGCTGCACACAGGCCTGTGCCCTTTGTTCCCTCCCCTAGGAGCTGTCCCATCCTCTCCAGGGCTCAGGGAGAAACAGTGCCCCAGGATTGATGCTGCAGCCAATAGGATGGGGTCCAAAGGCCCTGGCACAACACGCAGCCCACCTCAGCCCTGACCCAGCCACAAGCCCAGCCTCCCTCCAGCTGCCCACACCCTTGCCTCTGCTCCAGCCCACTGTGAGCCTTCGGGGCTCTGCTCATAGCCATCCTTGGGTCCAGGCAGTGCCTTTGCCCACTACCTAGATTGCTATCAGAATCCCACGTCCTCATAAGCAGAGTTTCAGGCTGCCACCTCCAGGAAGCCCCCCAGCCTTCCTCCCAAAGGGACTATGTGCCTTCCTCTGTGCAGCTCAGTGCTTGACTATAAGCCCAGCAGAGCACCCCTTCGTGCAGTTGTACACCCCAAACAGCACACATGCAAGCACACACCCCCCCTCACAGGTGGGGATAGTCACCGAGAACGTATTGTGGGGGGCAGGATGGACAGGAGCAGGGCACAGTGCCCATCCAGCCACCTCCTCTCCCTCCACCCCCCTCCTTGCTGCCTTGAAGAAGTGAATTTTCTGGAAAGGGGTGCGGAGCGCGTGACAACTCAGGGAGATCTGGGGGACTCTCCCTCTCCCCTCCCCTCCGGCCGTGTGTAGGGTGAGGCTGTGGGTGAGCCTACCCTGGGGCCTCTGGGGGGCCTCTGTAGGGCTGAACAGGGCAGAACCCTGCAGAGGTTGTGTCAAGAAAGGACAGCAGGGGCAGCGCAGAATGACTGCACTGGGAGCACACAGCTCTCCGGGGCTGTTCTAAGAGGGAGGTCTTGTTATGGTCCCCTGCTTTGCAGATGGCCTCAGACAGGTTAATCAACCTGCAAGAGGTCACAGGATTGAGTGACAGGATTGAAACCTAGGAGCTCCAGAGCTTCCTGAGCCTCTGCTCCACAGAAGGAGGGCAGCACGTGCTGGCAACGGAGATTGGCGTGGGCCTCAGCCTCTCCCAGAGGGCAGCCATGGGGAAGAAAGGAGAAGCCCTGTAGGAAGCCAACCCAGGAGCGTGGCAAGCAGGCAGCTGGAGGTGAATGGAGTGTTCCCTGCCACCCTCAACCAGACTAAAGCACCCAGAGGCCAGGCCTCTGTGTCCCTGGAGCAGCCACCCATCAGGTGCAGAAGAGGCCAGCGAGGGCACAGGGTTAGGTGGGCAGGCAGCTCGGAAATATATCAGTGTGAGGGCTGGGCTGTGGCTCAGTGGCAGAGCGCTTGCCTAGCGTGTGGGCGGCACTGGGTTCGATTCTCAGCACCATATATAAATAAATGAATAAAATAAAGGTCCATAAAGAACTAAAAAAAAAAAATTTAAAAAAAAATATATCAGTGTGAGATGGGTATCCCCTGTACTGGGCCCCTCCCAAGGGGGCGACCTCAAAGCCATAGGCGTCCACAACAGTGATGGTGCCCATGCTGCCTTCCTCCTCAGGTGGTGCCAGCTGCCAGTTGATCCTCCTCAAAAGCCAGCTGAAGAGCTGTGAGTACAGGGCCTTGGCCAGGGCATCCCTGTGGGCACAGTGAGTAAGCCACACGCAGCAGAGCACCAGGCCTGGCTTGGTTCTCCCATCCCCAGGGCCACCTGGCATCGATGGCACTTTCCACGGGCAAGGATCTGGAGACCTGGCCATAGGACGTTTCCTGGAGGCCAGAGGAAGTGCATGGGTATGTCAGGCCGGTGGCCCATTCAGGTACCACCCAGCCTGGAGGAGGCCTGGGTTGTCCCCACACCTTCCCAGGACCCTGGGGCTCACCGTGACTCTCCTGGTGACAGCCCCTTCCAGGCGCTCTGGTGGCACCCGGAGTAACCGGGCTGCTGTGTGGATCTCAGCCCAGCTGGACACAGAAGCTACCTCCTGGGACTCCCACTGGACAGACAAAAGGATAGGGAGAACTCTGTTCATGAAATGGACCTGTTCCCCAGGGCAGGGACAGGAATTTCCTTGTCATGTCAGCTGCCATCATCCAAAGGGACGACAACATGTGGGGGAAATCTGGGTCATGGTGAGCCAGGCCCTGGGTCTGAGGGCCCCCAAGTCAAGTCCTGACTTTCCCTCCTGACTAGCTGGGTGGCTCTGGTGAGTCCCTTCCCTGGGCCTCCACTGCCTTATTGCCAAGGGGAAACAGTAACTCGTAGGTCATGGTGTTTTTATGAGAACTGAGTTAGACAACATGTGCCAAGTGACTTGCCCAGGGCTAGGCACAAAATAACTGCTCAGCTAATGCCAGGTGCTCTACTGATGGGCAGCAGCTGAGTGTAACAGGTACTGGGAAAATGTAGACTCTCCAGGGCTCAGTTTTCTCATCTAAACAATGGGTGTCTCCCTCTTTGGGGACAGCCCAGGGCTTTGTAGGCTCCTACACGTGAGGGCTTGACATCATTTTCATTGTTCTGACTGCACAAAAATTTACTGCTAATCAGCGTCTCCACTAGCCCTGCCCACAGGGGAAGCCCACCTCTGAAGAAGAAAAGCAGATGTTTCCCAGGTGCAGGACAGTGGCCAGCACGGCCCAGATTGCAGTCAATTCCTCGGGGCCCAAGCCGAGCACCTGCAGGGCCTTCTCTAGCCCTCTGAAGTCCAGGGCATCATCCTTGCCCTGGAGGCTGCAGGCCTGGCCCTGTAAAGCACAAAGGGGCTGAGGGGGCAGGTCTGGTCTCCCACTACCTCCCTCGACTCCTCACACCTGGGCTGAGACCTGGCCCTTGAACCACAAGAGCCTTACCCTCACCTGGTTGAGGTAGTAGTAGGTTTCTGGTCCTTGCAGGGAGAGCTGCTCCTGCTCCATGAGATCCAACCCCGCCAGCAGCTCGTAAAAAACATGGAAGCTCCGCTCAGCCTGGGCCTTTGGGAAGACGGGCGTAGGTGGAACGATGCCTGGAGGCACGGCCCCCTCACTTTGGGAATTGGGAAGGGGTAGACAGGAGGGCACCCTTACCTGGAATACCACTCTGGAGGTCTCAAGCAGATAATGTGACACAGAGGCTCCCACAATGACACCACTGCGGGCACAGGAGATGGGCCAGGGTGCCCCCATGGTACACTTGAGCCCTGCTTAGGATGGGCCCACGAGAGGCTGGGACCAAGGGCATCAGCCCCAGGCTCCCAGTAAGGGTAACCCATTACAGATGCCAATGGACCCCCATCACTCACCGCTGCAGGCAGAAGCATAAGGCCTGGCCAAAGCGGCTGGCGTTGGCATTGAGGAGAGTCTTGGCATGGCCAAAGCTGCTGAGCACAGGCAGCACATCATCCAGCTGTGGGGAGGAGGGGCGCTTGAGCATCTCTGGGATGACAGTGGTACTGCCTCAAGGGTTCCCTGTGCCTGCTGGCTGTGCTGGGCCCATGGGGGGAGTCAGACCCCTCAGAAAAGTTCCCCAGCCCCCACAACAGGCAATGCCTGGAGGTAACTCCAGGAGAAGCCAGAGACACAAGACCACTGTCCTTTGGCCCAAAGGAAAGGGATGGTCTCTCTTGGACCCCTGGCAAGTGGCCAGTTGCCCCCTGGAGGGAGACAGCTTCAGCCCAGCCTCACCTGGCACCCTCTGTCCCTTGTCTGCTGCTGCTCCAGGCTGCGCAGGAACCGCACAATCTTCTTGGCAGCTTCTGTTTTCCCTGAGCCACTGCGCCCACTGCAGGAGGGAGGAGCTGGGGATGGGTGGAGGCCAGGAGGTTCTCCAGGAAGGAGACTGTGGGACTGCCTCAGTGAACCTGCACAGTGGGGCTGTGCCACTTGGAAGTGACACACTGGAGAACCCCAGAAACATGGATAGATGCAGGGCGTGGAGGTCGAACAGAAAGGGGCCTATGTGGTGACCTCTAGAGCAGACCCCAGTGAAATCCAGAGCTGTCACCCCGTGGTGCACCAGACCTCATGCCCCACCTGCGAGTCCTCAGGGAGGCCTTTGGGCTCAGGCAGGCCAGCCAGCACTCACCTGAGGAGGATGCAGGGGTCCTGCCCAGTGCTCTTAAATAGGCTATAGGCTGCTGCCACGATGGCAAATACGTGTCTGGGGAAGGAGGGCAGAAAGACGGGAAGGGTGCCAGAGATGGGCCTCTAGGCTGCTCCTCGGTATAGGTGGGACATGCCCACAGGCCCCAGGGCCAGTCAATGGGGTGTGCTGGGGCCCAGCCACCAGGGAGGTAAACACAAATTTGAAAGACCAAAGGCACATACGGGGTGGTATTGGGGGCCTTCCCAGGGTGGTAGCTGGTTAAGATCTCAGATGAGAAGAGAGGCAGGGGCTGGTGGGGATTCAGAGCCACCAGGAGGGGCCCCCCAAATGTCTGGGGAAGGAAGCAGAAGTTGTTATTGGTGCATGGAGGCAGCAGGAGGAATGCAAGTGGGGGTTATTCCAGCGCTTCCCAGCTGGACCCCACGCTGCTCTGCAGGACCCCAGACAGAGGCTCACCACCCAGCCCAGGCACAAAGAGGAAGGAGAAGCCTTGGGATGCCCAGGAGCCCTCTATTCCCAGGGGAAAGGGAACCCAGCACACCACCCGCTCCTCGTAGGCCCCCATACATAGATGCGGCCCAGGTGAAACCTCTTCTTGAGGCACAGCAGCACAGAGCTGTCGCACACCAACCTGTGGGGACAGCAGGGTGGAAGGGAGGAGCTGGGAGATGAAGGAGGTCCTGGCCTAGCTGTGCCAGGAGCTTCAGGGACACCTGGGGCAAGTTTTCCAACTGTTTAGAGCCTTAACCACAGAGGGAGGGTCTATTCAGTAAATGACCAATCTATGGGGGGTAGACAAGGAACAGGCCCCTGAAAGGGAAGCTTTGTGCCAATTACAAGAGGAAGTCCCAGGAAGGGACACCTGACTTTCACTCCTCACCAGCCCCCTCTAGTCAGAAAACCTTTTGTGGGGCAAAAAAAATCTTTCTAAGGATTCTATAGAAGTCTATTCAGTTTATAAAGAAGAGTGTAGGTGGCCTATAAGAAACCGCGAGGCAGGGACGGCCGATTTGGAACTGTGCTGCTCACCCCAGCCGGGCCAGGTCCTCAGTGTCTTCCAGGCCGTCTCTGAGGCCCCTACCCTCAGTACCCAGGAAGGATGCCTTCAGGTCAGGCCCAAGGCTCATCTCCAGGTCCCTCTCCAGCGCTGCCTCGGCCTCATCCTCCGGCTCCCACTGCTCCCTCAGGGACCAGCAGGAGCTCCTGTCGCGCTCCAGGCGGGTCTCCAAGGTGAGTCGGGGCAGCAGCACGTTGGTGCCCAACCCAGGGTCCTGGTAGGGGCCTGAGTCCCGCGCCCAGTGCACCGGGGTCTCGGCTTCCAAGGTCTCTGGCTCCGCTTCGCTGCTGGAGCCGTTCTCCTCGAGTGGAGTCGAGTCGGGGGGAGTCTGCGCGAGCAAGACGGCGGGGCGGGGCCCGTCCGCTCCTTCTCCACTCGCCACGTGCCTCTCACTCTCCCCGGCAGCCTCCCCGGTGTGGGCGTCCGCGGACACTTCCCCTGAGCTCCCGCTGCTCGAAGCCCTCCCCTCCGTGTGCATCCTGGGGAACACGACTGCGAACTTGGGATCCGGAGTGGGGTCCTCATCGTCGGAAGGGTCCTCCGGGGCCGGGCTATCCCGGCCGTGTGGAGGGCTCCTGCCACCGCCAGGTGGAGGCCTCGGCGATGCTCTCAACCCCGCTAAGCCCGCCAGGCGCAACGCTAGACGGCGCCTCCGTCCAGGCCCGCGGCCCCGCCCCTCGCCCTCCCGAGGCTCCGCCCCAGGCTCCCGGGCCCGAGGCTGCCGTAGCCGCCGCAGCAACCACTGCAGCAGGCTCAGGGCCCGAACCACACGCAGAAGGCGCTCCTTGAGGCCCGCGCCACCCGACCCTGAGGCCTGGGGAGAGGGGCCTGGAGTGGGCCTCGCGCGGAGCTTACGGAGCACCGTGAGGGTGGCCAGTGGCGCTGGGTCCTCTGGACCTGCTCCCTTTTCCGACGCCGCTTCGCTCTGGTCCTCTGCCCCCTGCAACTTCCCCACCACCTTTCCAGTCTGGAGGCGCTGAGCCCGGGCCGCAGAGGCCTCGACTGTTTCAGGCTGGGCGTCCTGCAGCTCCGCCTCCTGCTGCGCCCAGCCTTCACTTGAGTCCGGAGAAAACATGGGGTCTCGAGAATCCCACGAGCTCCCAGGGACGTGCGCACAACTGCGCTCGAGGGAGCTGCATGCCGGGGCTTTTCCACCCAGGTCGATCTCTTGGGCATCAGGGACCCATCTTGCTGTCCCCAGGGGTGCCGGTGGGCGCGGTCCAGGCCCGGTCCCCTCCGGACTCAAGTCCGTATTTGTCCCAGAATCCTCACTCGCTCCCTGGGGCCCTGTCCCCGACGACACTTCCTCATGCAGAAGCTGAGCTGAGGGTTCGTCACTGCCCTGACTGCTGCTGGTCTGGCATTCGCCTGGATGCAGCGCTGACTCTGGCCATATTTTGTTCCCTTCCGGGCCCGTTTCCGTTGGCTCTGACTTAGTCCGCAGCTGCAAGGCCCCCTTGCCCTGGCTGCTCGTCTCCTGGGACTCTTGAGCTTCGCTGTCCCGGCAAGAGCTGCCTCGGTCCCCTCCCGATGGTTCACTTTCGCGGCTCCGAGCCTCTCGGCGGCCGGGCTGAACCAAGGGTCCCTGCCCTTTTCCTTTCCTCTTGCGGCGACGGCGGCGCTGGGCTGTACCCTCTTCTTTCGGTAGACTCTCCTCATCCTGGCGCTCCCCACGGCTGTCCCCTGGTCGGTGACTCTCCAAGGGCCCGGATCCCCTATGCCGCGTGCTGCCTTGCCTCTCCTGTGCCTCCGGTGGCGGCTCAGCACCTGGCTTTCTGCAGCCACCGTTCCCGTCTGTGGCCGGCTTCCTGTGGCCACTAGCGAGTCTCTTGTCCCCCGCGGTGTCGGGCTCCTTGGAGGGTCTCGCCCGCAGGGCTTTGCCACGGCCAGGTCGGTGGTCCTGGCTAAGTGCGCTATCAGCACTAGCCGATCCGGACTCCTGCTCCCCTGAGGCTGGCCTCCCAGGTCTCGCCCTGCACTGGGGCGCTTTGTTCTTGCTCCCACCCATAACAGTCCCAGAGATGACAGGCTTCACACTTCTCAAGTTCTTTTTCCTTTTAGGGGTCTGACTGCTTCAGGGTGCCCTTGGGCTGCAGCAGCATACCACCCAGCTGTGTTCTGGAGAGGCTAAGGGCTCTCCATTTAGAGCATCAATAATGCAGGAGACAGTAAGTCCTGACCCCTTCAGCCAACAATGGAGCAGAAGCACCTGTGAAAGAGGAGACTCTGTGGATTAAGGCCATGGACAGGGCAACCTTGCTGGGACTCCCTCCCAGCCAGGCTAGCCTGGCACCATGCCAGACTGAGGGGCCCACCTTTGCTTCTGCCTGTTTGCTCGCCTGGCTGGGGAGGGCAGAGTGAAACTGTGTGGGGCTTCCTACTTCTCCTGGGTCTGGGAGGCTGGGACCAGGTGACCCTGGTATGCAGGGAATGCTCCATGAGTATTATTAGTTTGTTCTTTTCCAATGTGAACTATAATTTATCCAGAATTGCACTTTGAATGGTGCATCTTGAACTGGTATAAAACAGATGGCTGTGTACCCTCTTATAGTTATGAAACAAAACCAGACCCCATAAATCCCCAATTAAATCTCCCTCTCTCCTTCCTTTCTTCCTTCTTTCCTTCCTTCCTTCCTTCCTCCCTTCCTCCTCCTCCTCCTTATTCTTTCTTTCTTTCTTTCTTTCTTTCTTTCTTTCTTTCTTATGGTTCTGGGGATGGAACTCAGGGCCTTGTACATGCTAGGCAAGTACTCTACCTCTGAGATAGAGATCTATCCCCTCACCACCCCCAATAAATATTAACATTTATTTTGGAATAGGAAATACATTTTCATAGTTCAAAATTCACAAAAGTCCCATTCCTGACCCTCAGCTATTCAATTTCCCCTTGAGGTTTCCCATTTTCCAGAGTTATCCATTCAGATAAAAATGAATCTTTATTTCCTTTTAGCAAAAGTGGAATCTTATCTCACTACTTTTTTTTCACCTAACAATTTCATTTGGAGATTTTATAATACATAGAAAACTTCCCTCCCTCCTCACTCCCTTGTTTTTAAATTGCATGGTAATCCAGCAAATTAATGCACCATCATTTAACCAACTTCTTGATATGTATCTATATACCTATAGGTACATATAATTGTGTGTGTTTGTGTGTGTGTGTGTGTGGGGGGGTTGCTGGGGATTCAACCCAGGAGCATTCTGCTTCTGAGCTCTATAACCCCAGACTTTTAAAAAATTTTGAGACAAGAGTCTCACGAAGTTACCCAAGCAGGCCTGGATCTTGCCATCCTACTGCCTCAGCCTCCTCAGTAGTTGGGGTTACAGACGTGAGCTACTTCACCCAGCTATTGATAGATGAGGATGCTGCCTCATCTCATCCTTTGCTTAAATTAAAAAAAAAAAATGGAATTTCATCAGTATCCAAGTAGGAATAATTCCTAGAAGTAGATTTGATAGACCGTAGGCTATATGTGTTTGTAATTTTGAAGATTTCCAAACATTATGGTTTGGTCATAAGGTGTTCCCCAAAGTTCCTGTTAATGCAGAAGTGTTGAGAGATGAAATGATCGGATGGTGAGAGGTGTAACCTAATCAGTCTGTCTTAGTTTGGGTGGTAACTGCAGGCAGGTAAACTGTGGCTGGAGGAGGTGGTAACCAGGGCATGCCCTGGAAGGGTGCGTCTTCCGTGGCCCCTTACCAGTGGCCCCCTCTTCGGCTTCCTCACTGCCATGAGCTGAGCAGCTTCCCTCTGCTGTGCCCTCCCCCCATGATGTGCAGCCTCACTTTCTGCCAGACCAATGGAGCCAGAGTCTATGGACTGAGACCTCTGAAACCATGAGCCCACAATAAACTTTGCCTCCTCTAAGTTGTTCTTGTCAGGTAGTTTGGTTATAGTGACACAAAAGCTGACTAAAACACCAAGATTTTCCCTCATGGAGATTGTATTAATATACATTCCCACCAGTAAAACAGAACAGGTGTCTCTGCATAGTATTAATACAGGGTGGTGTCCAACACACTGAAACAAAAAATAAAATATAAATAAATAAGAAATTAAGTTTAATTAATTTAATAAATTAAATAAAACTAATAATAAATTATAAATAAATAAATAATAAAATGAGTAAAATAATATAAAATTTATTTTAAAATTTTAAATAAAATATGGGCTGGGGTTGTGGCTCAGTGGTAGAGCACTCACCTAGCACGGGTGAGGCACTCAGTTTAATCCTCAGCACCACATAAAAATAAATAAGTAAAGGTATTGTGTCCATCTACAACTAAAAAATATTTTAAAAATCTAAAATAAAAAAGTGGTACCAACACTCTGAAACAAAATCCCAATGCCTTAAATTCATTTTTCTATGGGAAAAAAAGCAGACTTCCCTCCTCTTAGAGACACTATGATCCTTTGAGACCTGTCTTTTTTCATCTTTGGGGGGTCTTCCTCTAGGACACAGGGTGGGGAGTCTGCTTCTTGATGGCTACACTGTAGTTCAACCCAGTCAGGATTCCCGAGGTCACCGGAAGGTTCCTGGGACATAGCAGCTGCTGCAAGAGCAGGTTCTGGGGCCCCAAGATGGAGCCAGCTGAGTTGTTGAGCCAAGGCCCAGGACCTGCCCCCTCAGGGACTCCTGTGTCCCACTGACCCATCTTGCTCTGGCTTCTGTTCACCAGCAGCACCACCTAGTCCTGGAGCAGGGGAGGAACATTCCAGACTGCAGCATTTTCCCTTAAATGCCTGCCTGACATCTGTTTCTGCATATCCCCTTGAAGGAGCCTCAGAGGCAGCAGAGCAGTCTCACTCAGAACGCCCCGAGGGCCACTCAGCCCAGAGGCCTGGTTAAGCAGAGTTGAAAGCGACTCATCCAGTGCTGTGTGCATCTCCAGGAGTCAGCTGTCCCCGGAAACCACAAGCTCATGGGTAACAGCTGTGTCTGGAGACAGCTCTAAGCTGCACCCCCCACCATCAATGCTGCCAGGTAAACGGGCAGTGGTATTCAGAGAGCTTGAATCTCCCACACAAAGCAGAATGTGGGGTGAGAGAGGTATTTATTTACACAACGGTTCACTGCCCAGCATTGAGAACCCTCTACAACCACAAGCAACGTGGATAATCTCAAAAATGCTGAGTGAAAGTAGCTGTGCATGAAAGAGTATCTGCTGCGTGATTCCATTTATTGATAGTGCAAAAGCAGGCAGTGTGATTGAGAGTTTGCCCTGGGATGTGGGGGATGCTGTTTAGCACGGGGGAGTGTGTCAAGCTGTGCTCCTTTGACTTCTGCACTACCAGCACCTATTTTATAAAGATAATTCAGGGCTGGGCACAGTGGTGCACATCTGTAATCCCAGCTACTCAGGAGGCTGAGGCAGGAGGACTGTAAATTGAAGGCCAACCTAGGCAACTTAGAGACCCTGTCTCAAAGTAAGTAACTAAAAGGGTTGGGGTGTAGATCAGTGGCAGGGCACCCTGAGTTTAATCATCAGTACTGCAAAAACCAATCTAGGAAACAAACCAGAAAGAGCTCGCTCACTGCTCTGCCCTGGGCAAACATGAATAATTGCAAAAAGCTAGCACTTTAGGGCTTATGATACACCAGGCACTGTTCTAAGTGCTTTACTATGAAGTCATTGTATCCTTGAAAGCACACTGGTAGGTGCTATAAAGATGCCCATTTATGGAGGAGACCACTGAGACACACAGCCAGTCAGTGTCAGAGATAGACCGCCAACCCAGGCAGTCTGGCTCTAAAGGCCCAGCTGGAGAATGGGTGTGAGGTGCTGGCATCAGCCACAAAGCTCTGGTAGCTAGCTATGTGACCCTATTACAATGCGTCCTGTTCTTGGAGAACAGAGAGCTATGTCCCCCTTCAATCTTCTACCTGCTTGGTGAGGTTGGGTGACTTCCTCTCTTCCTGTTGACCCAGGCCAGGACTTGGATCACTCAAGGATCAACCTGGGTATTCTTTCTTTTTTTTCTTTCTTTTTCTTGCTGGAGATGGAACCCAGGGGATCATGCATGGTAGGCACACATGCTACCACTGAACTACATCCCCAGCCCTCCCTCACACTGGGAACTCCTCCAGCGGCTGTGTTCTGAGCTCTCTGTGACTCCATTCCCCACGTCTTCCCTTGGGGAGCCAAATCCTTCTCTGCTGGCCTCACCCACTATTCACTTACTCTGACCTCCTTGGCTTGGGTGTTTACGAGGAGCTAGGTGCTGTGTGTTCTTACAGGCTCTCATTTAGTCTTTACAACCTTCCGAGACAGGTCCTTCTATTATCCCCCATTTTATATATAAATTAAGGCACAGGAGGTCATCTGCCCAAGGTCACAGGGCCAGTCACAGACCAAGCCAGTGTTCAAGAGCTGGATCTGCCAAACTTCAAAGTCAAAGTGGACACCAAGCCTCCCACCTGTTTGGATGCCTGAAACCCTCAGATCTAAGTTGAGAACCCTGAATCCAGTTTCCTATGGTACATCTCCATGACCTCTGGAGCCAGCACCTCCCATCTGCTGGCTTCTCCACAAGGCAGCGACACTTGTCGACCTTTGAATGCCTCAATTTGCTCCCTATCACCTCTCCTGTGGACTGCTAGAAGGACCCCTGACTCCTCTCCCTGTGCCAGCCTAGCTTCCTCCAATTCGCTTGCTAGAGGACCAGCTGCTTCTGTTTGCTCATGCCCGGCAACAGAAACCATTCACCTCACATCCCAGCATGAGGATGCCTTAGAACTGAAAGAAACCTGCCCATGTCAGCTAGCACTTGAGCGCACTGGGTACTTAGGCAAGGCTCCAGTTAGTGAGCGCGGAGGTAAGCCTGTTTTTAAAGTCTTCCTAGTATTTGCAGGGGTGTGTGTTTTCTTTTTTCGAGACAGGGTCTTATTACATTGCCCAGGCTGGCCTTGAATTCCTCAGCTGACACAATTCTCCTGCTCCAGACTCTTGAGTAGGTAGAACTACAGGTGCTACCATCAAGCTAGGCTCGTTTTCAGCCTCCTATCTGATCTAATCAGGCAGACAGTCGTCAAATGGAAGCGCTGGCTCTCCGCTCTGATTCACAGTGCTTATGTTATCACGGTTTTCTTCAATTCTTGGTGTCTAGGGCAGGAAACTTTGTGTCTCTTGACATTTGTTCTTTAAGCTAACTAGATAAAACAAACTGTACCAACCTCTTAAATTCACAGCCAAAGCCCTGTACCTCTCCACAGGGGGTGGGGGTGTCCTGTTCTCCAGGTGGGACAGACAGACTTTGGATGGTTCACACTCGCTGTTTATTCCCAAAGAATGAGCACTCAGTTATGTTCAGATACAAACAAGCATGGTGGGCTCAGATTCAAATGCTTAAAAAGCTGGTTCTTTGAGGCTTCCAAGGCTGGGAACAGACCCGGGGCGAGGCCAGATCTGCTGAGACTTCCCATTTATTTGGACAATTGAAGTCAAGTTCTCGGACCAGTGCAGTCAAGAGGTAATAAGGTGTTTATTAAAAACTCTGTTTCACCCAAAGGCAGTTAAGATTTATAATTTAAAACCCAACCCACTACAAAAAGGGGGGGGGGGGACAGAGGAATAAAAACTGTGCAACATTGATAAAAGGACTGAGACAGACAAGGCCAGGAGGGGCTGCCCCGGGAGTGGGGTCTCTCCTCCTGCAAGGCCAGGAGCAGCAGCAGGGTGGAGACCAGGGGCAATCGAAGCCCATGGCCTGGCCCAGTGCACGGGCCTCTCCAGCAGGAGCAGCTCCGCCCACTGAGGGCCCTCAGTAGTGTGTGTTCATCTTGCAGCTTGGTCACCTGTCCTGTTCACTCTGCTGTGGATGGACATGGGGGGAAAGCAGTTCATGATCATCCTGGGCAGAACAGTCACCTACTCTGAGCCTAAGCAGTTGTTTTCCAGGGCATGTGTCAGGGCTAGGATGGCCCCAAAGGCCTATCAACCCTGGGGAAGGGGCCCAGCGCTCTTCCTCTGATCCCTCCCCAGGAAGTACACCCTCCTAAGCAGTGCCCTGAGTCCCTACCTCCCCCATTACCGAGGCTGCATCCCACAGCCATTCGGTGAGACCGCCAATTGCCACAGCTCCTGCAGCAGCAAACACAGGGAGTCACCACCCACAGGCCCCTCCACCCTCAGTGCTCTCCGCCCCCTCTCCAAGAGCCTGGGGACTTACCCTCGGTCTCCCTCCAGTGTGCTCTGGATTTCCTTCAGGACTCCTGCAGGGCAGTGAGGCCTGGTGAGGCCAGCAGGGGCTGGGCCAGCTAGCAGCCTCTCCCCGCTTTGCCCGTCTTGCCCACCTCAGGGAAACAGCCCTCAGTTTCACCAGGCCCTCCAGGCCTCACCCAGTATCCAGGAACACCCTTCCCCCCCTCCTGCCAGCCCCCACCCTGACTCACGCTCATCATTGAGCAGTGCGTGCTCCATCACCGGGCCGGGTTTCTTCTCTGGAAGGCAGAGGCAGGTGAGATGGACCCTACCCTGGGTCCTTCTCTACCTGGCTCTCCTCTTAACAATGGTACACTTCCTATTTCCAGCACCAAATCTCCTTGCTCACCTGGGGCTCCATCCCTCCGTTCCCGCCCCAGTCTAACCAGGTGTGGCCCAGATGTTCCCCCAGGTGGTGGCCCCAAGAGGCCTGACTTACCCTCTCCATCACTTTGGCTCCCCGAGTTCCTGTGGGGGAAAGACAGTGAGGGCCAGGAGCCTCTAAGCTCCTTACTCTGGCCCTGAAAGCCTTGGTCCCCTGAAGACTGCGTGGCATCAACTGGCCTGGCCTGCCACAGTACTGGGTCAGAGAAGAACAGAGCCAACAGAGCCCTTCCCTGAACTGGTGACTTGCAAGGGAGGAAGGGGGCCTCTCACTAGTCAGCAGAGGGGAGGCGGCGGGGGGAGAGGCCATGCCAAGGTCTTCTGCCCTCCCTCACCTGGTTTGGCCCAAGGACTTGTCCGGGCCAGGGCCATTGCCATTGCTGGGGCGGCTGTGGTGCTTGGTTCTGGCAGATTCCACCAGACACCGGGGCTCGACCAGCCATTTGGTGGAAAGAGAAAAGCGCTCAAACTCTGAGGGTGAGATCAGGTAGAAACCTGGAGAGCAGAAAAGAAATCTGACAGATAAGGCGAGGCCAGGGCTCCCGGGCTGAGGCTGTGGGAGAGCTTCCCCCCAGGGGAAATTAGGAGACAGAACCTCCCTCTCTGCTCTTCACCTGGAGCCAAGCCGGCCTGGCTGCCACGGCCTCGCTGCTGTTCCCTCTCCAGCCCTCAGCAGTGCCGGGGAGCCCCCATCCACCTGCCCCGCCTGCACACCTTGGCCATATTTGGTGAAGACACAGGAGGCAATGCCGCTGACGTCCTCCCGGCGAATGCAGCTGTATCGCACCTGGGGCTTGAGCAGGGGCAGTGAGACCACCTGGATGTCACCCAGGTTGGTGAGGACCGCCAGATGGTGCTCCCCATAATCCTCGGCCCGACAGCTGCTGAAGTGGGCCACGCCAACCCGTCGGACCCTGGAGCCCTCCAGGGCCGTCAGCTTCAGTTTCAGCTTGGCACTCACCTTGGGCAGCGTGAACACCTGGGGCACAGGGCAGTGCTCATGCTGTGGCTATACCATAGTTCTCTTGGCCTGCCCTCAGCAGATGCTCCCCACCCTATCTCAGTGCCCGCCCTGCACCCAGCTCTTAACACACAGTCACTGCACTGGACTGGGAGGACAGGAGGCTGCCGACCTCCACGTCTGGTGGTCTTCCTTCCCACAGACTCAGGTGCTGCCTCAGTGTCCCTGCCTGAGCTTGGGGTCCAGAGACCCCATACAAGACCACTCCCCTTCTTTCCTGTGCCTTTGTCACCTACGACTAACTCCAAATAAAACTTTGTGCCCCAGCTTTCATGACTTGTGCCCAGGTGCGGAGCCCCAAAGAGGTCCCAGGAATTCCTGAGGGATCCTGCTGCCACATGTGGTACCTTAAATTGTTCCTCTGACACCACAAGCAGCTGGTGGCTTCCCTGCATGTCTGGGCTTTTTGACAGGTCATGGGCCACTTCCAGGGGCTCAGGAAGGGGTATGCTGTGCCCGTCGAGCACCAGGATACCCACAACTGGCGCTCGGTGCATCAGTTGGATCTCCTTGGCTATAGAAAAGAGGAGGAGGGCCCTATGGTGGGTGGCCAGGCTGGAGATACCACCTCACCCAGCCCAGGCAGATCAAGCACCCTGTACTCCCCTGTCAGCACTCACCCTGTTCCGCCCGCACTGGCTCATCCATTCTCCGATCAGCCGGGGGCACACGCAGGGAGAAAGCATAGACAGTACCTCCATTGGTGCCAGCCCACAGCGAAGGGCAGTGGCGGGAGCCTACCAAGAGGAAAAGGTTTGCGTATCTAGCCTCTGGCTCTGGGAGTTGGGCAGGAACAGGCAAGCTGGGCTTCTGTCCTGTCCTGATCGTTAGATATCACGTGACTCCAAAGTCCAGTTAGCAAACTTTAAAGAGGTTTTCTCCTCTTCAAAATGGACATGCTGTAGGCCCTGCCCACCTCCCAGGAAAAGATGGGAATGTCCCTCTGACAACTGCATGGCGCCCACACATGGATGGTCCCAAATCCACGACAGCTCAGCCCTAGCTGTGATGTGGCCGAGGATGCTCCCACCCATCAGAGGAGAAGGCCAGATAGTGGACATTTCCACCTGCCTATCAGGTACCAGCAGGCACCACATCATCTTAACCCTCACAGATGCTCCAAAAAAAAAGACAGCATCCTTCATTCCACAGAGAGGGGAGCTGAGGCCAGAAAGGTTAAACGATGTGTCCAAGGCTCTATTTCTAGAGCGCGGTAGCCTGGATATGAAGCCAGGGCAACTCAACTTGGGAGCCCAGGTAGGGGAGGGAAGAGGCAGATGGGGACTCTGATCTCCCCTGCTCACAATGGGAACCCCTCAGAAGTCCCAGATAGGCAGCAGCTCTCACGTGCTCTCACGCCAGGGGTATCCCTCAACCCCCCAACTTCAGGCAGGCCACTCACTGTCCCTCAGGTAGGTGTCGGCAAAGTAGAGGGTCCGGACAAAGCCTGTGAAGGAGTCTTCAGCTGAGCGGGCTTCGATCTTGCGCTGCACAGGTGCCAACTCCATGTTCTGCAGCCCCGTCCGCTCGGGCTTGGTGTTTGCTGCCTGCATCTGCCGTGAGGTGGGTGGTCCTGAGAGAGAGGTCTGTTTCCCCACCCCAGGGGCACTGCTCGATGCCAATCCTCCCAGAAAGGCTGTAAGGCTGGCCATAGCCATGTCCAAGCAGACCTTGTACAAGTGGGAGGTGCCTTGGAGGGAGCTTGCCTGGCCTCCCAGCACATTGTAGGGAAAGGGGCAGAATAATAAGAAAACAACTAATTTTTGCCGGGGACTCACCTCCAAGGTAAGCATTACAATCTTTTGTGCTTGGGGAAGCTGAGGCACAAAAGCAGCGTGACATACTGGCAGTCACAGTTAGTGGGGTGAGAACCTAGGTGGCCTGGATTCAGAGCCTCTGTTTGTAGCCCATGAAGCCCAGGGAGGGAGAGTCACATGGTCCAGGTGATGGCTGCCCTGGGCTTGGCCAGGGCTCAAGGGTAGCCTTAGGCCTCACCTCTCCTGGGGGGCCAGCTGGCCGCCGCTTCCGGCTAGACACTCTGCTGCGGCGTATCCGGCGGAATGACTGACGCAGGGACTTCTTGAGGGACTTTACACGGGACAGTGGGCCCTCCAGGGCTAGTTGGTCACTGGGGTGGAGGGTACACCTGGGGGACATAAGGTCATCAGTGCTGCCAGGGTGCAGGGTCCTCCCAAGGCCTTAGTCCCAGACCCCAGCCCCAGCCATCACACTCACTTGACAAAGACCTGCCGCCGCTGCTGGTGGTCAAAGAGGCCAAAGCCGTGGCTGGTGCCAAAGGCCACAAGCCGCCACTCAGAGTGCAGGGCCAAGGAGGTGACCACAGCTGGGGGCTGGCATTGTACCAACACAAAGGGCTGAAAGCCGGGCTCGAAGTGCATGGGCCCTGCGCGGGCGGCCAGGCGCTCATGTCCCTTCCAGCGGTAGCCCTCCTGGTCCTGCAGCAGGTCGGCCTCCACCTCCTCCACAGCATGCTCTGCCGCCTCGTCGTTCAGCTCCAGCACGAGCACCTGGGTGGGGGCAGATGTGCTCAGCAAGACCCCAGCATCAAAGGACAGCAAAGGATCAGGACTCAAGTCCAGGCTCAGCCTCTGCCTAGCTTCCACCCTTTGTTCTGATTTTAGGAGGAGAGGGAAACAACCATCCTTCCTCTATGGGATCGAGGAACCTTCTAGGGGCCTTTCTCTATTGGATTGAGAAACCTCCATCCCATGGGAGAAGCACAGAGAACGTGCACTCCTGGTGACACCTGCGGGTGGGTGCTCGGAGGCTGGTTCTTGTCCCTGCTGCCCAGAGTCACCCCACCGTTCCTCCACAATCCCTGTCCCTGCCCAGCCTGCTACCTGCCCTGCCGTGCCTGCCACAGCCAGGTAGCCACTGTATTTGCAGAGGAAAATCTTCTGGATGCCCAGCCGGGGGTCATCACTGTAGGGGTCAAAGGAGCCCACCTGATGAGGGAGAGGAGACCTGTGAGCAGCCAGGGCCAGCCCCATCCTCCCCGCCCCACCTCCAGCTTCCAGGTTCCTGGCCTCACCTTACGGAGTGGAGGCCACTCGTCTTCGCCCTGGGCATTGAGGTTCTCGCTGGGGTCCGTTTCAGTGAGGAACACCCGCGCGGTGCTGAGTTTGTACAGCAATCGCAAGCAGACACCAGAGGCATCCCAGAACCGTACAGTGCCATCCTCATGCCTGTGGGCAGAGCCCACCTGTCCCCCGTGAGAGTGATGCCGGCTGGGGTGCCCAGTGTCTGACACACACTCCTCAGGGCGGTGCCCTCACCCACCTTGCCCCTCCCCTGGGAGGAGGAAAAGTAGCATCAGAGTCACTTACCCTGTGAGCAGCAGGTCCCTCTGGGGTGGGGGTGGGGCCAGGCTGGTGCCACCATTGATGGGCCATTCCTGGAGAAAGAGACCAAGAACTCCAGGACTGCTTGGCCCCAAGACGGGCAAGGCTGGATGGGGCTGGGCTGGGCTGGGGCAGGGGCAGGGGCTGGGGCTGGACCTACCATGGTGGAAAACTGAGCATTCTGCCGGCTGCCCGCGGCAATGATGTGCTCCCACAGCTTCAGAGGGATGTTGGAGATGTGGTGGGAGCAGGTGATGGCGGAACAGTGCAGGGAGGCCAGGTAGGGTGGCTGGACAGATGGCCAGCCTGCTGTCCGCAGGTCAATCACCACCAACTCCTCTTCGGCCAGCACCACAAGGGCATAGGGGTCATCAAAGGCTGGGGTACAGGCCAAGGGTCAGGGCCCAGGAGCAAGCAGTTTGCCCCTGCCTGGCCCTGCAGAAAGAGCTACAGCGCTGGAGCCTGGAATCTGCAGGTGCAGAGAGCCCTTGTTCTTGGCTATAAGAACAAAATCTTTCACCTCAGGGAGGCAGCAGGTGTGGGGAAGCAGCCTGCCTGTGTCTGCGCTGCGGAGAGCTAACTGGCCCAAAGCTCACAGGGAGGGACACACCTGGCTGGAACCTGGGCTCCAGCCAAGGCTGAAAAGGTAGAGTCCCTGCCAGGAACGGAGCCCGCCCAGCCCTCTTCCCTGGTTCCTGCTCTCCCTGTTCAGGCCACGAGCTGCGGCTGGGATATGCCCATTGACGCTGTCCCTGCAGCAGCAGTGAGCAGGCCTTTAGCACCCCAGCTACCCATGGTGCATTGCCTTACTGCACACAACACCCTCCATCAGGCCCGACCCCAGCTGCCACTCAATAAACATGTCCTGAAAACTGGCTTCCGGGAGCCCCTCTTCCTAGGCCAGGCTGATCTTGCCAGGCTCCCACATTATCCACCTGGAGAAACTGCTGCCAGCCCATAGCAGCGGCCTGGCTGAGTGCTTCTGCACATTCTGGAAGCCTCATCTGGCTGCACATCTGTCACAGATGGACATTTTCTGCTCCGAGGGCTTCCCTGCATGAGCACCCCATCCCAGTATTGCTGTCTGGCAGAGCCCATCCTGTCTCCCTCCATTTGCTCCCCTCCAGTTCTCTCCAATCAGGCTTTTGTCCCCAGCAGAGAGCTTTCCTCTTGGTTGCCACGTGACCAGGTGTGCACCTTCCCCCAGCTGGGGCCCTCTTTTGCCTTTCTGCAGGTGCAGCATGCCGCCCACCCTCGTCTCCCAGGTCTCCTGCCTCTCTGACCAGTGCTCAGCTTCCTTCGCTAGATTCCACCAACCTCCGAGTTCCTACTATGTTCAGCACGCGCCAGGGCGGGTTTCCTCATGCTGCTTTCATCTGCTGTCCCCTGTGCTACTGGACAGCCTCACCTGCCCCAGGCTTTTCAGAGCTCTGCGTGGGTAACTCCAGAGCTTTCTTCTTTCCCAGGTCTTTGGTCAACATCTCCTCAAACTCGATTCCATTCAAGAAAGCCTGTTCCTCCCTGTACCTTCTCCAAACCTCCTGAGACTCGAGCCAATACCCCTTCCCATCCTGACCCCATCTTTCCTCCATGTACCTCCACCTAGACAAGGGGTTGACAAATCACAGTGCAAGGGCCAGAGCTGGTCCACTGCCTGTTTCTGTAAGATGACGCACTGTGTATGCACTGCCCATGGCTGCACTTGCTCTACAACGGCAGGACTGAGGAGAGGGGGCAGGGACATCATTTGTTACCCGGTCCTTCATGGGTCTGGACCAAGGTCAAGGCTGACTGTTAGAACACTCCAAACCCAACCATGTCCTGTGCCCCCGTCCCAACCTGAGCTTCAGCACCCCCCTTGGTTCCCACCTCCACCCCATGGGAAGTTCCCATACAGATCCTTTCCGAACAGAGGCCAGACCATGGCACCTTTGCTTGGGGCTCTCACCTCTCTAGAATACACCTAAAGGCCTTCCGAGCCTCTAGTTTTACAATCTGGCACTGTCCCCGTCTGGAGTCACCTCCCTCCCTCTGTCCATATCTCACTTGAGCAAGCAAAGAGCTCTCCTGACTTCAAGTCTCTCATCCCAGGTCCCTGTGGGGCCTACGTTGCCCTCTAAGTTCATTCCAGGGCTGGCCTTGCTGGCCACCCTGCCGAAATCAGCCCGGTCACCTGCTCCCTGCCCCTGCCCCCTCACCTGGCTTTGCTTTTTTCTTGCCTCTGATGTTATTATCAGTTTTTTCCCTATTTCCCCACACTTGAGTAAGCCCTACCAGAGCAGGGACTTTGCTCCTGGGATAGGGCCTGGCGGGTGATGGCTGCTTATTAAATAAGAAAGTCTGCCCGGCAAAGGCCCATGGCAGAGGAATCGCACAAGAGACTCAGTGTGCCCACACCCTGCCTGAGGGGAGTAGTTCTGATCATGCACTCAACCCAGGCCACTGGATCCGATCTGGGGACACAGATGGACAATCAGAGGAGCATGGCCAGCCCTAGAAGGCCCTGGCTTTGCCTTGTTTTGCATTGCTGGGATTGAACCCAGGGGTACTGAGCCACCCCCCACTTTTTTTCTGATCTTGAGATAGAATCTCATTAAGTTGCGGGCCAGCCTCGACTGTATGATTCCTGCTGCCTCAGCCTCTAGAGCGGCTGGGGTCACAGGCGTGCGCCACTGTGCCCAGCACACCATTGGTTTTCAGTGTACGGCTCAGTGAGTTTCTCTTGGGAGGATCCTCTGCTGGGGATCAGAGGATCCAATCAGCCAAGGGAAGCAGGGGGAGGCGACAGCCCAGTAGATTCCAGGCTCTGTCCCCACATGGCACTGACTGGTTTGAGGAAGGCAGCTCTGGAGCCCTGCTCTCAGCATCAAGTAAGAGGAGGAAGGAGGGGCCAGGAAAAAAGGAAAAGCAGGCTTAGGTCTCTTCTGTGATGGGGACACCAGGGCTGGGTGGGTCACTCACTAGTGGAGGAGGCCCACCCTCCTGGAGAGCTCCTGGAGGCCTCCTCCCAGATGTTGACATCAGCCCTTGCTGGTCTTGCCTGTCACCAATTTAAGAGGCTGACTCAGAGCTGGCCCCACACAGCTACCTCCCGCCCCACCCAGAAGGCAGGCTTCACTGTGTCTCAGCCTGGACCTTCTTCCTAAGCTTGGTGGACGGTAAATCTAACAAGGCGGATCTGTCCTCACTGGGCTAAGTCCCTCAGAGCCTGGGAAGGGCAAAGAAAGTTCAGGGCAGGCAGGAGGTGTGACCTGGTAAGGATGAAGCTCCAGGCTGTGAACCCAGTTGGGAGGACACAGGGAGGGAGAGAATGGAGAGACATGCCACTGGACTTGGTGACACTTTGTAGCACTAAGAAGGATGCAGGAGGGTGGCTGTTTCGGCATGCCTGTGTAGGACCCTCCCCTTTATTTATGTGCCTACCCAGCACCTCCCACGCCTCACCCTCTGCCCTTTCTTGAAGCTTGCCTACCGGCTGCAGGGTCCACCTCTGCCAAGACGGTGAAGTCAATGACACGGGAAGTGAAGTCAAAGGCTACCTGCTGGCCATTGTGGACCACTGAGATGCAGTGGCGGTCCCCGTAGCTGGCACGTGGCATGCCGCCCTGGAAGATGGTGAAGGGCAACCTGCGGGTATAAGGGGAAGGCTGGGCTGGGCTCCGTACCACCGAGGCAGCCTGGAGCTGGGCCTGTGGTATGGCTTTCCAGAGCACAGAGAAGTGGCCAGCCTTCATGGCAGAGCCTGGGGTGGGGTCCCATGCTGGGAGGTAGGCCGGTCTCAGGGTGACTGGCGGGGGCAAGGCTGGACCCCAACCTCATGCCCACTGCAGCAGCCCAGGAGAACCTGGGGCCAGGCAGGATAGGCAGCCTCCAGCTGAGTCCCTGCCTCTACCTCAGGCCTTCCTGCATCGTTCTTTCTGAAGAAACAGGCCTGTGACTAGAAGGGTCTGTGACCTGCTTACTGAGACCATCTCTCTGGGAGGGTGGAAGGAAGGTGTATGTATGGATTTTGCAGCCCCTGAGAGGCATGGGTGGAGAGCCTGCCCTTCCCTGCCTACCTAGCACCCAAGACACACCTGCAGTTGTTCCCTAGGACCATCTCCCCAAGTAGTCCTAAAGCCTCTCTAGCCCTGAAGGGAGTCTCTGGGAGACAGAGAGGACAGAGCACCATACCTACCCCTGCCTGGTGGTCAGCCAGAAGATTTTGGTAATTGCTTTGCAAGGAAAGGGACCTAAAAGAAAAGTGGTCAGCTGGAACAAGCATATGCCGGTTCCCACCGGCACAGATTGCTCATGTGCAAGGACACCTCACACCCAAACCCTCATGTGGATCTGGGCTGGGGAGTCTCGTTGAGCAGTTCCTAGAGATAGCCTCAGTGGGCATCCAAAGTCTGTGTGGCTTTGGATCAAGCCCTGAGTCTCTCTGGGCCCAGGTTTTGCTTCTGTGAACAGGGTACCCCATGTCTGAATTCAGTAGACTAAAGGGACTCCTCAGACCATGAGGCACTGACCGTAAGGCATGGAGCTGCGCAGGGGCTCAGGTTGCTGGGCCTGACTGGACACAGGCCACTGGCAATGGCTGCCATCAGAGTGGCAAGTGACAATGAGGCGGCCATCCCGCTGCCAAGTGACATTCTCCAGTTGCTTTAGAGGGGGAGAGGGAGAGAGAGCAGTGGGTGGGACTGGGGCAGTGTTAGCAAGGTCTGATCCTCCCCTCCTGCCGCCCAGCGGCTGCACTGCCAAGTGGGGGCTGGGGAGAGCCACGAGGTATCCACCTGTGTCGGGGCACCACCTACCTGGTTACTGAGGAAATGACAGAGTACACGGCTGCCCTGTAGGTCCCAGATGACAACAAGGCCTCGGCTGTAGCCGATCAGGACCTGGTTAGGGTCTCGAGGGTGCTCCTGCAGAGCCTCTACCATCTCAAACACTCGCCGGTGGCGGGCCTCTTCTGGCAACCTGGAGAGGGCAGTGCAGTCAGCCCACAGCAACAGTGGCAGCCTGTGTGCCATCACGGAAAGGTGGCCAGGACACACTGATTTAAAAAATAAATAAAATCCCAAGAATGCCACCAGAGGTGATATAACCTTAAAGAAAGGCAAGGACGTGATTTCTGGAAGTCAACCTGGAGGAGGGATGGAGCAAGAAAGCGGGAGCTGTGATGAGGAAGGGCATGTGGGGACGCTCAGGGGCTGGCTAGAGGGAGGATCGCTCTTAAGAATCGTGCAACCATATGGTCATATTTAGGGCATTTCTACAAGGAGGTGGTATTTCACAAGAAAGAAATTTTAAAGATCAACAAAACTCTATATTACTTGGCCCAGCCCTAGAACTGACTTCTCTTCCTCTTCTGGATCTGGAATGCTGACGTGACTCTGGAGGTACTGAGGCCAACAGAGAACCATGAGGCGGCAGACATGAGACCGAGACCCAACACCAAGAAGTCAAATGGGAGCCTGGACCCTGAAGGCACCCCTATACTGCAAATCAAACCAAACCAAACCTCTCAGCTTTCTCATACCCTATGCTGTAAGCAATGGCTTCTGTGGAATCAGAATTAGCACTGGGAGTGGGACTTGAAGGGTCACTTTCACTTATCTGTAAAGTTTTGATTTTTGAAGTGGATTCCAACATGAAGTATTACTTTGTGTGTGCACGCACATGTGGACACATGCTCTAGAGACTGAAGGCACAGACTCTTGCATGTGAGGCACAGGCTCTACCAATGAGCTACACCTGGTCCTGGTAAATTACTTATTAAAAAAAAAATCTCTTAAAGTTAAGCAACGAAAGAATCACACCATCTTGGAAAACACACTGAGGCATCTGGAAGAACAACAGAATGAAGCTGCATGGCTGGACGGCAGCTGCTGCACATCCCAGTGACTGTGCTCCACACCGTGCCCACTGGCATGTGACCTCATGCCACCTAAGGCACGCTATTACTTAAACACTGGAATAACCCCATACACATAATTTTGCATACTGTTTTTCCCCTCATCCAATGAGACACGGCTGTTCTCTCGTGTGTTTGAACATCATTCAAGGCTTTTTTTGGGGACTGGGGATTGAACTTAGGGGCACTTGACCACTGAGCCACATCCCCAGCCCTATTTTGTATTTTATTTAGGGACAGGGTCTTATTGAGTTGCTTAGTGCCTCGCCATTGCTGAGGCTGGCTTTGAACTCACGAGATTCTCTTGTCTCGGCCTCCCGAGCCGCTGGGATTACAGACATGTGCCTGGCCGCAAGGCCTTCTTACTGGAGGCAAATGATGTCTTTACAGAGCTGAAGGCTGCTGCATAATCAGATAGCACCCAACCACCCCACCTCTCACCACTGAAAGAAGTTCTGGAATGGTCATTGCCACACCTCTGTCTTTTCTTTTCTTTTTTTTTAATATTTTTAGTGGTAGGGCTGGGCTTGTGGCTAAGTGGTAGAGTGCTCACCTAGCACGTGTGAGGCACTGGGTTCGATCCTCAACACCACATAAATATAAAATAAAGATACTGTGTCCACCTAAAGCTAAAAAATAAATATAAAAAAATTTAGTTGTAGATAGACACAATGCATTTATCTATCTATCTATTTATTTATTTATGGTGCTGAGGATCAAACCCTATCTGCTAAGTGAGAAAGGCACTGGAGTTTGTACACAGAGGGACCCAGCCCCATGAGCTACGTACCAATGTGTAGCTCATTGGTAGAGCCTGTGCCTCACATGCAAGAGGCTGTGCCTTCAGTTCCTAGAGCCCCAGCCCTAGCCCCACCTGTGTCTTTTGTACATATTTCCCCTCAGGATAGTGACATGCTCAGAGTCACAGTCACCAGAGGTGGCCACTTTAAAAGCCTAGGTAAGGGCTGGGGATGTGGCTCAAGCGGTAGCGCGCTCGCCTAGCATGCGTGCGGCCCGGGTTCGATCCTCAGCACCACATATAAAAGAAAGATATCGTGTCTGCCGAAAACTAAAAAAATAAATATTAAAAAATAAATAAATAAATAAAAATTAAAAAAAAAAAAAATAAAAGCCTAGGTAAGTGTGGTCAAAGTGAAGGCCAAAGGAGGATTTAGATTGGAGGCAGCCTCTCTGCATTAGGCCCCTCCTTGCCTCCCCTCAGATCAGCTAAGGGGCGGGGAAAGGGCAGGGCTTGGCTCTGAGGGTCACTTGCTAAGGAGCAGGTTCTCCCACCAAGGTGCCCACAGATGGCACCCAAGCTGGGCCCCAGTTGTGCCCTCCTGGTGTCCTGCAAACTGCTCTACCCTGACCTCAGGCACACTGCCCCAGCCCTACCCTGCTAAGTGAGAAAGGCACTGGGGTTTGTACACAGAGGGACCCAGCCCCATGCAGGAATCCTCCCAACCCTGCCCTGGCCAGATGGAACCTGCTTCAGTGTCACTCAGGGATGTGGAGAGTCTAGGCTGCCAGCTATGTGCTCTAAGCCTGGCCTAGAGCCCTCTAGGACCAGGGCCCCTGTCCCCTGGGACTGCAGAACATTCTGTCACTAGCAACCTAGCCCCCAGCAAGCCTAGGCAGGCTCCCTGGTCTCCCTTTGAGCCTGCTTCCCTCTGCTGCCATGTAGTCCTGGAGCAGCAGAGCACCGGCCACCTCAACAAACCTACAGGCTTTTCAGCCATGGAACCTGCACCAGTAGAAGCTCAGCACGTGCCCCAAACATAAGGCACAGCAGGAGCTGGCCCAGTGGAGCAGGGTTTGGGTCCCAGCTACCCTACTGCACAGCCCCCAGATTTTGAGACATACAATCTCAGGGAAAGGACACTGGACTGAGTTGGTAACTTCACACCAGCATTTTGGGCCTCACTTTCCTCACCTTTAAATTAGGTGACAGGTTACTTCCAAGATCCCTGTTAGGGCTACGATGCTGACATAAGGGGTGAGAGATTCTCAATTTGGGGGATAGGTAGAGAGTTGAGGGTTTCCCTTCCTGTCCCAAAGACTTTCCAGGAAGAAATAAACTCTTGAGACATATCTGGGGACCAAAGGGATAAGGCCATGTCCAGTGGCTTACCGCTGCAGCACGGCCTCTGAGCTGATGGTCTGGTCCTCCAGGGCACGGAAGCCTGGCAGCTGCACCACAAACACGTTGCCACTCTCGGTGCCCAGGTAGAGCAGCTCTCGGGAAGAATGAGGCAGGACGACAGTGATCTGTGTGGCACTGGGAGCAGCCCTGCCAATGTGGACAGCTGCCCGTGAGTTGGCTGCTGCGGAGGCAGGAGGGACCCAGAGGATAGGGTCCTTAACAGTCCATGGAAGATAGGTCCCTCATGGTCTTTAATGGTTCAGAGCATCTCAACCAGGAAAACCATATTAGTCACTTTCTGCCAAGGTGGGAAACAGATGGTAGAGAGCTTGGGCTGGGACCCTCCTGCGTGACAAGGCAAGGGTGTAGGTGGAGGCTGCAAACCCACCCACTGCACTGGAGGACCTGAGCATGGGTATGCAGCAGCCCCGCACTGGCATGCAGATAACAGAGCCCTCAAAGGACAAGCCTGCCTCAGAGCTGGGTGTGAGGAGTAGGCTGGGCAGGGAGGGGAAGGGGCCATCCTCCATACCCTGGGGGGCCACGCAAGGTGAAGCTCTCATCCTCCTGAAGCTCTGACACACCACCTTTGACCTTCAGGCTCCACAGGTGCAGGCTGTTGTCATCTAGCAGGGTGACCAGCTGGCACTGGGAAGGGAATGCATGTGGGGACAGGAGTGAACCCAGGGCTGCTTAACCACTGAGCCACATCCCCAGCAACACTCCCCATCCCTTTTTTTTTTTTTTTTGGTACTGGGGATTGAACTCAGGGGCACTTGACCACTGAGCCACACCCCCAGCCCTATTTTGTTTTGTTTAGAAACAGGGTCTCACAGAGTTGCTCAGTGCCTTGCTTTTGCTGAGGCTGGTTTTCAACTCGTGATCCTTCTGCCTCAGCCTCCCAAGCTGCTAGGATTATAGCACCATCATGCCCAGCTGCCCCCATTCCCTTGAGTCAGAGTCTCACAAAGTTGCTGAAGCTTTGAACTTGCGATCCTCCTGCCTCAGCCTCTCGAGTTGCTGGGATTACAGGTGTGTGACATCCTACCCAGCTGGGCCAGTTGTTTCAAAGAAGCCCAGGACCAAAAATCCCCAGCTACTCTCAGAGTGGCCTGAAAGCCTCCAGCTAAGAAAAGGGAGGTGGTCTCATGTTTTCCCAGCAGCCTCAAACTCCAACCCATGCCTCCCTCCACACACCACTCTTTCAGGAAGATGTAAGTGTATAAGAGCAGGGAGAAGGCCCTCAGCCCTCCTCTTCCCGAGTCAGCCCTTACCTGGCCAGGCAGGAAGTGGATCTGCATCACAGCATTGTTCTCCCGGTGCAGCCCCATGAACTCCACCCCTGGGGCACCATAGCTAGGAGAAGGCTCAGGAAAACCTTTGAAAGCTGGACCAGCCCTTGCTAGCCTGGAGCTGCAGGCTCTCTGGCCCAGGAGGCAAGGAGTACAAAGGGAGAGAAGGGCTCCCCCTCCCTCCAGACATCAATTCCCATGTGCAGGCACCTGGGGTGAGGGCAGACAGCAGTGGCCCTGGTCTAGGAACCTCAGCCAGTGACCTGACCTCTGAAGAAGAGTTTTCCCAGCCAGGTGTGTGGGGGGCAACTCTGTAGAAAGATGGAGCCCATCTTGGTAACTCTTAGGCTGCCCCTCCTACAACAGGCCCTTCAGCCAGCACCTGGTAGCACCTGTGAGAAAACATAGGCACCACTGCAGGCCCACCCCCAGCAGCTTTGGCCTGCGTCTTGGCACCAGGACTGGTAACCAGGATATATGGCTGTGGCCTGGCAATGATTAACTGTGGAGAAGGCTGGAGTCGCAGCACCTGTGCCCCTGTGCTGTGTGTACGCCAGCCCAGCCCTCCTGGGGACTCTGCACCCTCCAGCTGCCCCAATGCTCTGACAGAGGAGCAAAGGCCTACCTACATGAGGTGCCAGCTGAGCTACTCAAGGCAGTCCCCATCTCCCAACTGCCCTAGGCCCCATCCTAGTTCATCCGGAAATTCAGGTCAGATAGCGATGGGGGCCCCAGATGCATGGCCTAGGCCATGCCTGCCGAGGAAAAGTCTCAGGGGCAATCTTTCCTCCTGAAACTTGTGGACTTGCCTCCAAAATAACCCCAGTTAACCAAAGGTGAGGCTTTGGGTAAAAAAACCACCCCACTGGATGACAACTAGCCTCAGCCAGTGGAGGATGTCCCAGCCAAGCAGGATCCATTATGCTCTCCAGAAGAGGTGCTGCCCCTCACTGAGGGCTTTCCCTCCCTGTGACTTCTGCTTTTTACCAAGGAAAAAGGTAAACAAACAAAACCACTTCCAGGAGGTCACCTGCCCCCACTCACTGCACTCAGGGCAACTACCAAGCGGGAACGTGGGACTAGAAGTGTCACCTGTAATTTTTTTTGGTAGGGGAGCAGGTAGCGTAGAGGAAAGCAGGGGAAGAAAGGCCAGGACTCCTTGAAAGGGTTGTGCCTTTGGAGAGACCCCCCAAAAACCCCCACCGTTGTAGCCTGGGCCAGGTACTAGGAAGGCAGGCACCCACCAGGCTCTGGTCCCGACACTGGTGTCAGGCCCTGCTCTCTGGGGCCCTAGCCCTCAACATAGCCCTTGCAAAGCAGGCCTCTGAGACCCCACACCCTGTCAAGGCAGAAGGACGGACACTGGGACCAGGCTTCTCTCCTCCCAGCGTGGTGCCTGGTTGCACAGAGGTTCCCTCACCCAGTAGGGCTCCATTCTTGAAATCTCCAGCTATGGGTGAGAAAGGGAACCAAGGAACAAGAGGAGACTAAACACACCCATCCCTCCCCAGTTTCAATCCTAGAAGGACACACAACAGCTCACCATGCCCAGTCCTCTCACCCCTCCAACAACTATATCCCATCCCCCCAGAAAATCACGTTCAAAACCAGATCAGGAACATCTTGCTCTTATCCCAATAGCCCATGGGTTAGGAGAGAGAAGAAAAATCTCAAATCTCACTCCCCCCACTTGCTGGTGGGAGCTGGGCACTGGAAAGGATACAGCTTGACGGCTCCGGAGCGGGTGCCGATGGCCAGTATGCGCAGGGAAGGGCTGTAGCCAAGGGCACTGGGCTGGTGTGGGAAGCCATGCTCCACCGTCTGCAATAAGAGGCACGAAGACCAAACACGTTCAGTGTCCTTGTGTCCCCTCTGCCTTGCCATGGCTGGGGCTAGTGATAGGTGGAGCCATAGCCCAGAGTCGGCCCAACAGGAAGGAGAGGCCTGGGCCCTTTCACACCCCTCCCACCCACGCCCCACCTCTGCGGCCCATTTCTGACCCTGATCATTACTGCATGCTATTATTCCTGGCACCACACTGGCCACCTAACACTCCATAAGACCCCCAACTCCACCTGTGCACCCTGGTTATTGACAGGCTTACCCCACCCTCCTGCAGTAGGGTGGGGAGTGGCACCATGGAGACATTGGTCCCTCAAGAAAGAAGTCTAGTGGTGCTACAGCTCCAGGTCCACCCCATACCCTGAGAGCATCCTGGCGTCCCTGCCCGGGTCTGGACTGTCCAAGGCCCCCTCTGCCTCCAGCTTGCTGCTTCAAATCAAGGGCCCTCCTTGTCACAGTTCTTCTCAACCACCTTTCCAGAGAGGCAATTTTTGGAGCATGGTTGCAGGTACATGCTTTTGTTCATTTCTTATTACAGAAGTAACATACACTGTAGAAATGTTGGAATGTATTTAAAAAATCAAGAATTACCCTTTGATCCCACAATCAGAAGTAGTCCTCGATAACTTGGGAAGTATATCCTTTGAGTCTTTTCTGTGCTTGTGACTATACACGTGTGTACATTTACTTAATTGTTTTGTGGTACTAGGAATTGAACTGGGGTACTGAACCACTGAGCCACATCCTCAGCCCTTTTTGTTTTGAGACAGGGCCTTGTTAAGTTGCTGGGGCTGGCTTTGAACTTGGGATCCTCCTGCCTCAGCCTCCCAACTTGCTGGGATTACAGGCATGCACCACTGCACCTAGCCTAGCTTATTTTTAATGAGGTTTTATTCTGTTTTTCCCTCAGCCTTTTTTTTGGTTTTTTTTTTTTTTTTTTTGGCAGTATTGGGGAAGAACCCTGGGCCTTGCATGTGCTACCACTGAGCCACACCTCAGCCTGTGTAGTTTATTTTTTTTTATTTTTTTTTTTAATATTTATTTTTTAGTTATAATTGAACACAATTATAACTCACTGCACGGACCCAGGGCCTCTCACGTGGGAGGCGAGCGCTCTACTGCTGAGCCACCACCCAGCCCCAAACCCATGTAGTTTAATAATGCAGAGGCAAGACCCCAGTCACACCACAGATACACGCAGGCATGTGTAGCTTTGTGCCTGGTTGGTAAATGCTGGAAAGCGACTTTTCAACAGCTGGAGAATACTCTCAAGGTGGAGCTGCCTCACTACCTGAGCTTCTGGTACAGCTAGAAGCTAGAGCTTCTGCAGTTGCCAACTGCACTGACCATGGTTCTGTCTGCAACCCTCGGCATTTCAGGAGGCAGCTGCCCCAGGTAAAAAGGCAGGTTGAAAAGGTTTGAAGGTGAACATCAGGCTTCAGATGGACAAACCGCCTGGGGAAAGGTTCTTGGTGCTACTTCTTAATCAGCTACTCCCAACCCCCAGGGGACACAGACACTGCTAAGGGCTTGGAGTAGAGCACAGCCATGCCAACCAGACTGCTTTTAACCAAGGAAATTGCCAAGCCCAAAACGCTGCAGCAACAAGAGGACCTCCCCAGCCATCCTGAGCAGCTCTGTCAGGCCCCTGAGCATCAGGCCTAACAGCTTGGCACTAAAAGGCTGCCTGCCTCTGCCAATCCAGGTCAGGCCAGTCCAGTACCGTGGTTCACTAGAGGAGGCCCAGGCCAGGGTCAGGCCTAAAGGAAAGCCCCAAGACCTGCTGGGATTTCTGGAGCTAGAAACCCCCACCCCACCCCCATTTTTCTTTGTGGTGCTGGGGATTGAACCCAGGGCTTGTACATGTGAAGCAAGCACTGTACAACTGAGAAGGGGCCCTGAGGAGGGGGAAGAGTCTGTACAGCAAATGGATATACCTGGATGGGACAGCCAGGAGGGCATAAAGGACCCTGCAGGAGCCTCTAAGCCAGCCTAGGTCCCAGTTCAGTTATGTAAAAAATGCAGGCCCTGGAAAAGCCCTGGGTAGATAGCTGAGGATCTGGAATGTAAACATTTCCCTGAAAAGGAGGGAAGGGAACAGATAGGCTGTGTGGGACAAGTTCCCCTGGGGGCCCTGCCAGGCCTCAGGCAGCCACAGGTTGCAGGGGCCTCAGGAAGCCAGCTGCCAGAGATAGGAGTAGGTTCCTGAGAAGGCAACATTTTTCCCATCACAGCCAGCAGCAGTTCAGGGTAAAGCCTGTGGAATTTGGAATCTGGAAGACTCTGGGGGAAATATCCTCCAGAGCTTGGTGGACAGTAGCAGGCCCCCCACCCCTGGCTGCCAGAGCAGCAGCCAGGAGCCAGAGGAGTTACAGAGCTCTTGCAATGCAGCTAGTGCCCCCAAGAAGTTGTCTTTTAAACTTTCCTGTATTTCAATCAATTTAAATATAAGAATGGATGTTCAATTCAGTTATTGGAAAACTCTTTGAGTATTTTTTTAAAATATTATTTTAGTTGTAGTTGGACACAAAACCTTTATTTTATTTATTTATTTTTATGTGGTGCTGAGAATTGAGCCCACCTTGAACTGGCTAGATGAGTGGTCTTCTGCAACCCCAGCCCCAATAGAAAAGGGGCTGGGGTCAGGAGAAAGTTTCCAGTCTCCCTTTCAACTGTAAATCTTCCGAATCCCAAATAGAATCTAGCATTTTCAAGGAAAATTTATGACTGAATTCAGATGGGCTATAAAGTATGAAATACGCCCAGATCTAAAAAACTTAGTATTAAAAAAAATACAGTAAAAAATATCTCATGGGGCTCTACTCAGCAGTAGAGTGCTCACCTAGCACGTGCGAGGCCCTGGGTTTGATCCTCAGCACCACATAAAAAAAAAACAAATAAATAAAGATATTGTGTCCCACTACAAAAAAAAAAAAAAACTCATTAATTTATATTGCCTTCCTGTCAAAAGAACACTATTTTGGATATACTGGATTCAAGAGACTATATTATAAAATTAATTTCAAATGTTTATAAGATTTTATAATACAGCTTCTAGAAAATTTTTAATTACAAGGCTCATATTAGTCGTGTTGCACCAATCCTGGGACAACTCTGCTTCAGGGCATCAGGGCATCAGCAGGAAACTAAAGCCAAAGAAAAACAGTTCTGCAGCTTTTTTTTTTTTTTTGGTGCTGGGGATCACCCCAGGAGCTTGCGCATGCTGGGCAAGTGCTCTGCTGAGCAACAATCCCCAGCCCCAAATTTATTTTGAGACAGAGTCTCACTAAATTGCAAAGGCGAACCTCAAACTTGCAATCTTCCTGTCTCAGCCTCCCCATGATTTATCTCCTCATGCGTCGTGAAGACCTAACACACATGGTAAATGACCATTTTATAAGTGAAAACTGGGATTATGAGGTCTGGATCTGGAGTTTATTGTCAGGCTCCCAGGTCACAGATCCCATCAACTCACTAGCACTTCCCCGAACATCTCACTTGAGGCCCTCCTGCAGGTCAGTTTCTCTTCTCCAACTCACAAGAAGACAATGAAGTTGGGCCCATTCTTCCATCATGAACACGTATTCCTCAATTCCTTCAGTGTCATGGGGACACTGTGGTCACCGCTCCTTCCCATCCCCTCTTTCTCTTGCAAAGGGCCATTCAGAACAGGCAGTAAGTCAGACCCACTAGGCTTCCACTCCCCTCCTGCCTCTTCACTTAGTAAGCCATTCTGCTCTTGGGTCTCAGCTCTCTCCCATCAACAGGATGATACCCTGACTATCCTGAGAAGGGCTGTCCTTGGTGGAATACAAGACCCTCAGGAAAGCCACCTAGGAGCATGAGAAGGCTCTGCTCAGCCACAGTGCACAGGCCTTGCCTCCGAAGCCCAGCTTCCTCTGCGGCATCCCTGCTGCATCTCCTGGGACACCTTGCACAGACAACAGAGGAAGGATGAGGCTCCTTCAAGAGCAAAAGAAGGGGAGTGAGCCCAAGAGAGTGGGTTTGAATGTAAGCAGTGTGGCTCCCTGGGGACCCCTCAGCTCAGGGCATGCAAATCGACCCATAAAGCAGCTATAGTTCCAGCAATTTAGGAGGCTGAAACAGGACAACCACAAGCATGAGGTCAGCATCAGTATTTAGTAAAACCCTGTCTCCAAATAAAAAGGGCTAGGGTGGGGCTATAGCTCAGCTGGTACAGCGCTTGCCTTGCATGCACAAGGCCCTGGGTTCAATCCCAGCACCACACACACAAAATCCCACACAAATCTCTAAATGAAGCAGTTTTCAGTACAGGGACTTGGGCTAGGCTGGAAGGTATGAGAAGACTTTTTGGGACAGGGAAGGAGAGATCTGGATTTGAAGACTGCGAGTGGCCAATCTATGAATCAATCAAAGGGACAGGGAGAAGCTAGGGAAACCAGGTAAGGGAAGGAACCAAGTTCTGTCAGGCACCCCACCCCTGCCCCAGCTGTCCCAAACCAGTGTACCCTGCCCACACTTTTGTCCTCCCTCCCCCAACCCCTAAGGGTTAAGCCTCTCCACCATCATTGGAGTACAAGGTCCATGTGGATAGCAAACACCCAGCCTTGTTTAGGGCCCTGGAAGAGGGAGTATGCAGATGGCCTCCTTCCAAGGAAGACGGACAGCCCTGAGCATCCATGTAGTCAAGAGGGGCAGGGGCTCAGCCTGGGGCAGCAGGCACAGCTCCTGGCAGGTGGGCACTGAATTCCCAGACCAGCCCTCCTGACCCAGGACCCCCGATAACTCCAGCTGAGAATCCAAGGAGGCTGCCCAAAGCTCAGCAGCCTTGGGAACATCCTCCCCATCCCCCCACCGGAGCCCCCACGCTGCTACCTGGCTCAGGTGACCTCTACCAAGGGAGAAGAGAACAATGAGCCGTTGTGACAGGGAGTGGGGAAAGGAGAGCAAAGAGGCGCAGGAGGCGCCAAACTGCAACCTTAGTGGGTGTGGGAGAGAAAGGCCATCTGTCTCCCCAGCTCCAGGATCCAGGTCCCCAGAAGGGAAAAAAAAGTTCACAAAAGTTGTTTGTCAGAGACAGTGATCTTGATCTTGCCCTCAGCCAGGGAGGGTCCCATCCAGGAGCAAGGACCTGAGGAGTCCTGATAGTTGTCAGGGGTGGGGATGGGGTGGGGACAGGGTGAGGGGAGAAATGTCAGGGACCAGAGCCCCAGGAGGCTGTGCAGGGCCACAGGGGCACACCCACCAGGCTGGCTAGGCGGCTCTCCCCATACTGGGTGTGGTCCAGCTCAGATTCCTTGCAGTTGGCAAGCAACCTGGCCCTCCCTGTGTGGCTGTCACCTGACACCAGGGGCCCAGCCATTGGAAAGCCAAGACAAAACAATCTTGCCCTGGGCAGGGGCAACTGGTCAGGAACACACTGTGTGTTCAGGCTCTGGGCAGGAAGGTCTTGGGCAGCCACCTCTGCGGCTCACCCTCACGGGCGTGGCTGACTCAAATGTGCTCAGGTCTCACCAGGGAGGTGAGCAAGTCCAAGCTGTATTCAAGGACAGGGTTTTACTTTGCCAAACAAGTTCCCTTTCCCTCCTGAGTCACTTCCTTCCCACTGAGGAAGTGCTCCCTCATTAGGTCCTCAATGGCCCTGTCAGCCAACTGATTTATCTCCTCATGCGTCGTGAAGACCTAACACACAAGGTAAATGACCATTTTATAAGTGAAAACTGAAGTTCAGAGAGGTGAAATAACCAACCTAAGGCCACACAGCCTGGACAGAAACATCCTCATCCCTAGCCAGTATCTGCTGGAATATGCTCAGGCTCTGCAAGCCCTGGAGGCCTGTTTCTTCACCTGTGGAGTGGGGACAGCATCCATCTCTGAGTCATCATGAGGATGAGATCAATGACAAGGCAAATCTTGCTATGGTCTTAACAGTGTGCCGGGCACCATTTTAAGCAGTTAAACTCAGCACACCAGCCTGGACATAGGAGCCGTCATGATGCTCATTTTACAGATGAAGAAATGGAGGAGCAGAGAGGCTCAGTAATATGTCCATGACCACAAAATAAAAAGGCAGCAGAGCTGGGGCTGAGATCCAAGTCACCTGGCTCTAAGTCCCCTCCCCTCATCACCATACCCAGTCCCCTGATGCCTGGCACACAGCTCTTGCTGAACTGGAGCTGTCCCTCTGGCAGCCAGCCTCTAGCAAAGTTCAGAGACTCTGGTCACAGTCACAACTACTGCCCAGGTATATGCAGCTCTCAGGACTCCTAGGGCAATGTCCCTGCTCTGAGGTATCTTGCAGGTAATGGGCAGAAAGGAGTTTGGCCAGAAGGTGCTAGAAGGAAAAGCCCAGAACTGGATTAGAAGCTGGTATCTGCAATCTGTTTGGGGATAAGCCTGAGATGGTGCCACCGTCACCCCCACCACACAGTCCCTTGCAGAATGGTCTTCAAGATGCAGCCCTCAGAAGAGGTGGGCAGAGTCCCCAGGCATAGACATTCTCCACGAGGCTGACTCTCGCCTGCATTTAACCTACGCCAGCGGCCCACATGCTACTCAAGGTCCAGCTCTGTATTGAATGCTGGACCCTCCCTCAGCTGAGGTCCTCAGGCTCCCCAAATACAACCTCAAGCCAATGACACCCATAGAGCCTGGCTGGTGGAGGCTGGAGCCACCAGTCATGTCCAGCACCTCAGTGTCTGCAAGCATCCACTGAGTCCTCACACCAACTCTGTGGACTGGCTTCTAGGATCATCTCTGGTCTAGAGGTGTGTGACCTGCCCAAGGTCATGCAGTGGGGGAACCAGGCAGCCAGGTACCAAGGATAACACTAACCACCGGCTCTATGAATAGAGTTCATTGTTGTTTCTATTCTGACCAGATCTAAACCATCAACACGTGTCACTTTCCTTCAGACTTGCCCCTGGGCTCCCCCTCCCAGCACCTGGCACCACTACTCCCAGCACAGACACCACAGCCATCCTGACCCGCCTCCCTGCCCTGTGCTCTGCCTCCTCCCTCCACACTGCCTCTGTCACCAGGCCAATGGATCTTATGTCCTGAAGAGTGCCCTGTCCCAGCCGCTCCCAACCAGGAGCAACTGCATTCCACACGAGACAATGTCTGGAAACACTGGGGGCTGTCACACCTGGGGGTGGCACAAAAGGCATCTGGTGGGTAGGATCCGGGATCATGCTAGACATCCTACAATGCTCGGAACAGCCCTGCAGCAGTGATGATCCTAGAAGCCAGCCCACAGAGTTGGTGTAAGGACCCAGTGGATCGCTGCAGACACTGAGGTGCTGGACATGGCCCGTAGCCCCAGTCTCTGCCAGCTGTTGCCAGTGCAGGGTTGAAAAGCCTTGCTTTTGCCTTGCCTTTCAACCTGCTTCCTCTGGATTGTCCCTGGGATGTCTCCCAGCTGCTGAGTTTACCTGTTTCACTCAATAAGTGAAAATGTCCCCAGTGTTAGCTTTTCTAAATTATCGACAGGATTGCTCACTTCCCTGATCAAAATCCAGGCCCAGGACTGGGGTTGTAGCTCAGTGGTAGATCACTTGCCTTGCATGTGTGAGAAACTGAGTTCTAAACTCAGCACCACATAAATAGAGATATTGTGTCCCTCTACTACATCATCATCATCCAGGCCCAGACTCCAGGTTCTGGCCTCCCTTCTGTTCCACAGGCCCTGGGGAAGCCTGGGGCTAGGGAGGGCCTGCCAAGGGTAGGATCACACCAAATCCGAGATCCTCCAGGAAGTGGCCTCACCTTCTAGTGCTACCCTTCTGGCTCCCAGAGCCTGAATGAGACTTATTTATGATTCCCTATTCTCTCACCAGCCCTCTCAGATTCTCCCCTTCCCTCTCACTAGAAGACATGGAATTCCAGGCCATCAGTCCACCGCCCTTCCTAATTCCTGAAGGGCAAAGGCACCATCACCTGAGATTGCTAGTCCCCAGACTTAGGGAGTATACCTAGTAGGTGCTCAATGCACATTTCCTGCATGTGAATCGAAGGAGGAGGCAGAGAAGGCAGGAAGAATTCTAGAAGCTTCACCTACCCCATGTCACATCTGGAGGTGGGGTTCTTAAGTTTGGGGACGACCAGTGGGGAGTAGGAATTATGAAGGGAAATATCCTCCACTCTAACCTCACCCTGGCCTTATCCACTGCACAGAGGAACTTGGAGTGGGGGTTAATCCTTTTGCTGAGCCTGTCAGGTTTCTGCTAGAATTGGCCATCTTTTCCAAGTGAGAGATCCTAACATCATCAAGGGGGACAGAAGCACATGGGGTCAACCAGGTGCTCTGGTAGACTCTGAGGTTTTGAGACCCATATCTGGCACCCAACCTGGCTCTCTCAGGAGTAAGGATGGCAGGCCCCAAGTATCATGAGATTCCCCTATTCCCAGAACCTGCACCCTCATTTTCTATGACCCAAAGCAAGCCACAGAGAGGAGCATTCACTTGGAAAAGTTCTGATTCCAGAGGAAAATAGCCTTGTCACAGCTCCTTGGTGACCCCTTCTCCTGAAGTCAAGAAAACCAGGGGAAAATGGCAAGGCATGCTGGGCTTCCTGACCCACTCTCCCTATACAGCAGGATCTGGAGGGAAATCGTCACCCAAAGTCCCCAGTAGCTAACACTCCTGGGCCACTTAGCCTAGGTAACTGAAGTTATCTGGTTACACATAAAGTCCCTAACGAGCCTGTGGTATGGTGTGGGTGATGGGCACATTGTCTTGCAGCTTGTAGGCAAAGCTGGCTTTGAAGCGGATGAGCCTCTTCCACATTCTCAGACCCACAAAAAGCCAACTAAAGAGAATTCCTCATTTTCCACAAGGAGAGGTGCCTTTTCCCAACTATCCAGTCCAATATCCACTGTTTCCTTTTCTGAGAAAGAAAACCCCAAACCGAAGCCCCTAAAACAAGTCAGATCCAGCTGGGGAAGTGACTCAGTGGAAGAGCACTTGCTTAGTATGCCAAAGTCCTGCATTTTGAGGCTAAGGATTCTAACTCTAGCACCATTTAAAAAAAAAAAAAGCCAGAATTCCACCTATGGGCATGTCCTGGAGGGTCAGCCACCCTGAGGGAGAGCATCATGGTGTACTCCCTGTAGGCCACTGGGGGCAGAGATCAAAGCAGAGGGCAGAAGGCTAATTACCCCCAAACAGCTCCAGATTGCTAGGTGGCACTGGTGAGGAGCTAAGCCACGCGGAGAGCCTCCTGTTTACAGGCCCGAGCTGGTCTTCTCAGCACCCATGAACAAGCCTTGTGAAACTTCCAGGGCCTTAGGAGCAAAATTGGGGTATCCAAAAGCCAACTCTGGCTCATTCTCTTCACCATCCCTTCTCTCTCACACAGACCTGGAGCCCACCAGAAGGAATCAGGTGGTCAGCCTTCAGGAAAAGCTGTGTTTTTCTTTGGGGGCAACTTGAGGATGAAGGGGACAGCCATGGCCTGTGCTTCCTGGGCCCCAAGGGCCCTGGTACCCCAGGAACATTATTATACTTTGCAGAGTTGGGTCAATGTCCTTTCATCTTTTTCTGTTCCTAAGCTTCCTTGGCAGCTCTGTGACAAGGTAGATAGGGCAGACTGTTTTATGCCCATTTCACAGGAGGGAAAACTCAGGCTTGATGGAGTGACACAGAGGTCACACAGCCAGCAAGAGACCAGGACAAGGAATCCCAGCTCCCGGCATTCCACTGCCCCTGCCCAGGAATGCCCTGTAACCACACTGTTTCCAAAGTCAGATTTCCAAGGGGGCCCTCTGGGCAGTACCCAGTAAGCACCTTCAACCAGGTGAAGGAAACCTGACCCCAGCCCCAGCCTCGGCCCTGGGAGGAACCGAGGTCTCCTGCTTCCCTTTACTTACCTTGTTAAACTGGAAAAGGTCCCGCTTCAGCCTCTCCCTCGCAGGGTCGTGCCCGGGTCTTAGGAACCGCCTCATCTTGCTTAGTTTATGGGCCCTGCCTGAGACCTGCAGAAACCAAAGGGGATGCTGAGCCCTGGCTGCCTCAGGCCTCTCTCAAGCCCAGCTTCACTGGTGGCTTCCTGTGCTCATCCACAGTGTGGTCCAGGGGAAGTGGGAGAGGCCTGGGGACCGGGCCCCAGCCTGTTCCTGGCTGGTTAATGCTCTAATGTTGCCCAGGCTTATAATGGGAGCAGAAGCTGGGGGAAGAAGCCATTTAGCCTGGCTTTATAGGAACAAGGAGGGCCAGCAGGCCCCGAGGTTAATTAGTTTAATTGTTAACCTGTTTTCTGAAAACCATAAAACTTGGCTGACCAGAAAGGGAAACTTCACAAGCCACCCTCCAGAGCCAGTGGGAAGAAGGAAATGCAAAGGCTGTCCTCCCACCCACAGAGCAGAGCTCTAAGGGACTGGGGAGAGGCCTGGAGCAATTCCAGGCCAGAACACAGCAGGATGACCTGGGGCCAGCACACCTGAGCCACCTATCCTTCTAATTTCAGGGAAGCTCTCAAGGGGCTTTTGCTTGGTTTTTTTCCAACTAGCCCCAGTAATGGGGACCTGGTGGAGAGGAGAAGGCAATGTGCTCAGTCAGGGGTGCTGGTCCAGCCACTGGTGCTTGGGACCCAGGTCCAATCCCAGGGGGCTGCTAGGGTCTCTGTGGCAGGCTGTACCCCAGCCTTCCTGCTGATTTCTGCATCATCTTGTCTCTGGCTCTCCCAGTTCCAGCTCCCCTGGGATCTGATGGGGCAGGCTCAGAAGGGCTCCTTTTCCCGGGGGCTCAAGTGGAACATAATCAGAAAAGAAATCTGCACCCAATAAATAAACCAGCTCAAAGCCCCCAAACCATCCGCCCACCAAAGAACGCATTCCCAGCCCAAGAGGAAACTATTTCTGGATTATCCTTGGGGGAAGGGGAAAGTTCTAGTTTCCGGCTTCCAGCAGCAGGGCCTCCTACTGACCACAAGACACCAAGGCCTGTCTCTGGGAACAGAGGGGCTCAGGCCCACCCTGGAAATGGCACCATTCATTCCACTAGATTATAAAGGGAAGGCAAGCAGATCCTAACCCAGAGAAGCTTGATCTGGGCAGGGCAGGTAGAGACAGGCCAGCTCAGTGTGCTAAGTGTTCTGAATAGGGCAGACAGAGGGCATAGTCCACACAGGGGAGGGGGTTCCGATGCTGAAGCCTGGAAATTTTGGCTTCGAAGAAGGTGACAAAAATTAAAAACAAGACTGGGGATGTAGTTCAGTAGTACAGAACTTGTCTGGAATGTGCAAGGTCCTGGGTTCAATCCCCAGTGGGAGGGGGCCACCAGGTCAGGACTTTGCATATCAAAAAACCTTATGGATCTAAAACTGGGGCTTCTTAGAGGCAACCCCTCACAGCATGCAATATGCATGTCAGAGTTGGGGGGTTTTCTGGCCAGGAACTAGGGCTTGCAATGCTGGAAGGGGTCGCCTCTCTTCGCATTTATGTGTAAAACAGAGGCAGAAGCCTACCCCCAGCACAAGTGAAAGGATCAGTTACCTCCAAACCAAACACCTGTGACTAGTTTTCCAAGACAACCACAAGACCACTGCTCATGGTGGGGGATAAGGGGGAGGTGTGTGGGGGCACCAGACTGCAGCGAAGCCTCCCATTCCTGAGGGAGTGCAGGCAGCTGGGAAAGTCCTGTTGCCCACTTCATCTGAGGCCCCACAGCAGGCCAGAGAACACACATGAGAGCCTTGGGGGCTCCTGGGATTGGAAGTGAAAACAGACTCAGGCAGTGATCTCTGCCTCTGGACAAACAGCTGAGCCGCCGCACATTCCAGCCCAGCCATGGGGGGGAGGGTGTTAGCCCTGGGCTCCAGGAGAGCTGGCTCTCCCACCCCTGGGCCGAGGTCATTGGGTCAGAATCTCGAGGAAGCTGGGAGTGACTGCCTGGAGGAGGAGAAGGTACTCAGACTCCAGGGAGGGGACAAGAGGCCACAGGGCCATCTGTGCCAAGGACCCCACACAGCTTAAAGGTGAAGGGTGGGTGGAGGGAGGAGGAGGGGAAGAACACCCAGCCATCCACCCAAATGCCCCCCAAGCACCTGACACACACCGGGCATTGTACTAGACCCCCTGTGTGATACTGTCATTACATTTAAAAAATTTTTGCTCAGGTGATCTGTACGCATTGTAGAAAAAGCAAGCGAAGTATACAGAGGAGAAAACCCTCCCTGAATCTGATCAGCCTGGGTGGTGTGCTGGTACATGTCCTGACCACCTCTGCACTCTGCATCTGAGTTTGTGAATGTGGCTCACTCAACATCTTGGCAGGCAGCTACCTGAAAGGAAGTGGAATGTCCCCATTTAGATAAGGAAAACAAGAACCGGAGCTGTGGGACTTGTCCAAGGTCACCAATAGGAAGTGGCAGAACTCAGCTCTGACCCAAGGTCTGGCTAACTCCCTAATCAAAGGGCCTGGAAGGCAGTGGAGGCTGGCTACTGCAGCGGAGGAAATGCCCAATTATATCCCTGCAGTTGAAAGGCAGGGACACTGGGCATCTTCCCTCTGGCCAGCAGCTCTGCACCAACCAAGCAGTTTGAGGCTGGGAGCCTAGCCACTACTTCCAGGGTGCTCGTGAGATCTGGTCAGGCAGGGCTGGGTGGCTTCACTGCTCATTCCACGGGTACCTGGACCCCCCACTGGTCTGAAGCCAGAGCCAGAGCCAGAACCAAAGCAGGGCAGGCCCAGCACCTAGCCCACAGTGTAGCCTCTCAACAGAGAAACTGCCCATGTTAAGGCAGGAAACCACACCCCCTTCTTGAGGGGGATAGGTTTGGGCCTGGCTAAACTGACCTCCAGGCAGCCCCTCAACGACACCCACCCCAAACAAGGAAATTCTGTGGAGAAGCCCAGGAAGCCAGGCCCAGCTTCCATACTGCCTGGTGTGGAATAAATCTGCCTGCTCAGTCCACTCCTAGGACCAGGGGACTTAAAGCAACAACCCTGCTCAGGTCCCCTGAAAGAAGGAGCAGGGCCAAATGCAGAGTGCCTGGCACAACGCTTGGCACGGAGCAGGCCTTGTCTTGGGGTGCCACTGTTATGGGAGGGGCAACTTTTAAGAAGACAAGTCACTCAATAGGATGAATTTTTTGTGGGGGGGTGCTGGGGATTGAACTCAGAGACACTTAACCACTGAGCCTCATCCCTAGTCCCCCTTTTTATTTTTTATGAGACAGGGTCTCACTAAGTTGCTTAGGGTTTCACTAAGTTGCTGAAGCTGGCCTTAAATTTGCAATCCTCCTGCCTCTGTCTCCCAAGCTGCTGGAATTACAGGAGTGTACCACCATGATGGGTCAATGGGATGATTTCTGCCAGTGAACAGGATATCAAAAAAAATGAAGATGCTGGGCTGGGGTTGTGGCTCAGTGGTAGAGTGCTCGCCTAGCATGCATGAGGCGCTGGGTTCGATCCTAAGCACCACATAAAAATAAAGATATGTGTCCACCTAAAACTAAAAAATATTAAAAAAGAAAATTAAGATGCTGAGATCTGGTGGTCAGGCATTGGGAAAGCCTCAGTGCCCATTCCTTCATTGGGGCCTGTGCACTCACTGTGCTGCCTAGCACACTTAGCCTCCAGATGCTCAAATGGCCCTTCCTGGCTGAAATTGCAACCTCCCCTGCCACAGTCTCCTCCGTCCCCTGGTTGCTCTTCTCCTTAGACCTTGCCCTGCTTCAGCACACTGAAGAGTTTACTTATTAACCTTGTTGACTACCTAGGGAGCCTTCCACAGGAAGCAGCTGTCTCACTCAGTGAGTTTTGTCTCTTCTCTCACTATAGCATCCTCAGTGCACAGGGTGAGCCTCACTCCTAAACTGCTGAATGAATGAATGGGCGTGGAAGAACACAGTCTCTGCTCTCTGAACTGGATGAAGCTTAGGTTGTAGTAAGATTTGCAGGCAGAGCGGTTTGGGCAGCAGAGCAGCAGTTGTGAAGCCTCAGGTCAGAGCAAGCTTGCAGATTCCAGGAGCATGAAGACAAGTCAGGGCCTCGGAGAGACCCACACAAATGACATGGGAGAGATGAGGGTCAAAGGTGGGGCCTCTGGAGACACAGTGAGGAATTCCAGTTTGACCCCACTGGGAGCCACTGACAGGACTGAGCAGGGGCCTATGTGGACTGCCCCGCCCCACTCCAAGCCACATCCCCTCGACTTGGCCCTGTGCTGGCTGCCCCACCTACTCAGCCCCACCTCCCCAATGTTCCCTCACTGTGGTCTCTGAGCTGCTGCTTGTCCTTTCCAGGAACACATCAAGTTACCTTCCAAAAGGTCATCCATCTGAACCTGTCCTGACCATTCTCACTGTGTTCCCCCTGCATTCAATGGCACCTTGAGCTCAAATGATCCCTTAAAACTGCTGTGGAGCTGGACATGGTAGTCCAAATTTGGGGCCAGCCTGGGTGACCTGGTAAGATTCTGTCTCAAAATTTAAAAAAAAAAAAAGGAAAAGAAAAAAGTCTGGGGATGTATGTAGTTCAGTGGTAGAGCACTTGCCTAGATGTGTGAGGCCTTGGGTTCAATTCCCAGTTAAACACATAAAATATACACACACACACACACAAAAAAAAAAAAAAAAGAAAAGAAACACCTGTTGTGGATAGGAACACCATCAATTTCCACAAACATTTACCCTAGCCTTAGTAAGCTACTGGGAAAATAGAGAAGTGGCCTAAATAGCCAATGACACAGGACAGGTGAACTGCGCACAGCCCCATGACAGAGGGATTGCTGTAATGGAAAGGGCATATGACCCTTCAGGGAGAAGGAAGCCTGTGTACGAGGCTTCCATGAGCCAGGTAGAGTCTATTTTTAATATTTTACATACAGTGGGGTGTGGTGTGCATGCCTGAATACCAGCTACTAGGGAGACTGGGGCAGGAGTACCACAAGTTCAAGGCCAGACTGGCAATTTAGCAAGACCCCCAGCACTTAGCAAGGCCTTGTATCAAAATTTAAAAAATAAAATAAATA